TGGAAAGAAGTCATCTTGTTTTGAATAAGCCACACTGGACTTGAAACGTTAGCCCTGCTTCTTTCTCCACAGATGCTGCCAGACCTGTTAAGTTTTTCCACATTTTCTGTTTTAGGTCACAAGAGCCTCTTAAGGTTATAACTTTTACACTACTGAACTAATGACTACATCAGAACCACTAAACCATCTCCTCTCCCTACTGTTGCATGTTAACCTGATCTGTAGTTCCAACAATTTTTGTTGTGTCTGCTCATTGAAATTGAGCAGAACAATGCATAATTACCCCAAATTAAATATTTTTAGACAAATTCTATGTGCCAAATCTTAAAATATTCATCTGTGAATTCCAACTATAACTTTATCTTTCCATTACAGTAAAGCAGCACAACAGAACATGCTGAAGGAAAGTATGATCGCAACACACAGACAACTGCAATTCAAATATGCCTTGCAATATGATTCTTTGTTAGGTCCCACAGGAAACACCATGACTGAACAAAGTACATGAATATTTCATAGGCTGAGGCTGTGCATTCTTAAAAGCCCAAGTCTTTTGCACAGCTTGAAGACTAATTAGCTGCACTTAGCTCTTTTTAAAGGAAGAAGCATGTGCAATGGGCATCTTAACATTTCATTTCAGCTGGGAAAAGCTACTGGGCACAAAAACTACTAAAAACAAACAGAAATTTGATGAAAAACAAATTTATCAGCAGTATCTTTGTCACACTGAAGAGTAAATGAGACAATAAAAATGATCTACAGTTAGCACAAATCTAGCGTCAGCAGCACCATCATAAAAAAATCTGAACATGTCCCCTTCCATTAGTTTTCATTCCCAGCCCAATAAAATTTTGCCAGATAAATTTCTGACAACTTTGCAGATTTTCACTGTCCATGAAATAACTTCCTCTTTGCACAGAGGTGAAACAGATCTCAAGGTCACAAGAAAGTTACGGAAGGAGGTGGCATTGAGCTCCATCTTAATTCATCCACTCAGAGACAAGTTTATTGAGTTTAAATCTATGGTCCTGTTGTCTTGTTTTAATTACTTTACAAGCATTTCCACTTGATGTTTTTTCATTCCATAATCTAAAGCCTGAAACTGGGATATCTTCATATCAGATTAAAAATTTCATATCTCTACAACTTGCCTCATAACTGCAAGCAGGGGCCAATCCCATTTCTGAAGAAGGGCCCCGACCCGAAATGTCAGCTTTCTTGCTCCTCTGATGCTGCCTGGCCTGCTGTGTTCATCCAGCTCCACAGTGTGTTATGCCAATCCCATAGCTCTGCCTCTGCACTGCACATAATGCTAGAATGTCTCCTTTGCACTTTGGTGATCGGAAAAAGGCACAGTACTTGAAGTGCAGCCTGGTCAGCACAACACAAACTTGGTCATCGCTTCTTGACTTGTGTTATAAAACTTGCATAGTAGAATAACCAAAGTCAACTGAATGTCTGCTGATTTACTACAGCTAGGTGTGTTAGGTACATAGCCCACTGAAATTTCTTAGCCTCTTTTGGCTTCACTCTGAGATTTTTGAACACCATTTAGAGTAAGGAAAAGTTTAAACCATAAAACAATTGAATTGATGCAAACTAAATCTCTCTTCCAAGCATACTACCAACAACACTGACTGGAAAAATTCAAAGTTTGAAAGCTAAAGCTCTCTTAATCATGACTACAGTTCAAGCTATTCAAAACATCTAAAGGACATCAAAAAGTAAAAATGATGTGGAATCATATATTTTGCAAGATTTTCCAAAGTTACAGATTTTCTTTTAAAAGATACAAATAAGGAACAGATATCAGGAGGACAAAATTTTACTGCCTACAACAGATCAATTACAAATACCATTAATATTACAACTCACCCAGATTAGAAGTAGCACGCAATTAATGTACCTATGAACGCCTGACGAAATGTAGTCAACATTTTCCCAAGTACTTCAAATTGACAAACGTAAATAATTGAATGGGACTACATTACTTTTGAAAAGACACTTAAATCGGATCATTGGCACATTGTAGATGACAATGTATTTAGTTGTAACATAGTAGACAAAGATGAATAGCTTTTATGGTGCATTCTGAAAAATATAGCAATGTCCCATTTTTCAAATTTGTCCTAAGGCTGACAGAAATATCCAGCATATGAAACAAGTATCAAGTACCAGAAACTAGTTATGCCCAAAGCAGCAGAATGGTAAGGAACATGGCAGTACAGCATTCTAGTTAATCTGCAGTACATCAGCATCATAGCTGCTCATGTCACTGCCGAGTGCAACATCATATCTGCAAAGGCAAAGATGCACTGCTCCCTCTAAAGGCACCAAAATCCTACTCATGTTTTTATTCAGCATCTCCAGGGTCTGGCAGCCATTAGCTAGTGCCATCATTGGTGGCACCAATCATCAAATTTCACCAGACTTACCCGGTTGTAGGCCACTACAGGACTGTGATTAAAGACCTCTACAGACCTTTCACAAACATCAAATGACCCCACAGCCAAATGCGCTATTAATCGTGACTTTTTAAATCTTCATATATTAAGTACTATAGTGCGAATAACATGGTCTCTCCAGCTGTAAATATCACGCTGTGTGGTTTTTCATCAGGCTATATGTTGGGGGCAGGAAAAGCATTCCCATAATACTCGACTTGCCTCCTTCACCAAACCGACAAGCTGAAAGAAGGATCATAGACACTCAATATTGCTGACAGGTTTCTGGTTATTTTGAGCTACACTACTCTAAACTGCGTTAGAAAATAATTTAAATTTCAAATTTTGAATCAAAAGAAAACAATGGTAAAGGTAAGGAAACTAAAAGGTTTCTTTAAATGGCAGATGACATTATGACAGCAACGAGCAAATAAAAGCAACTCTCTCCCAATTCATCCTTCATATTTTAAAACTGACTTTTAAGATGCAGAGGAAAAGTAAGGTTTAAATATGATGTTTGTTGCAAGTTACAACAAAATCTAATGGTTCTTTGCAAAATAAAGGCCCAGTTCTAGCGTTGTGATCAGGATGTAGAAGTTGTATTGAGTCAAATGATATTTTTTAACTTCATTTGTTTGCTCACTTTTATGACAGACATTCCTGAACAAGGATAGCTTTGTCAAAATAAGTTTCATTAGTACCCTCTGCAACACAGCTGTTTACAGTGACCATTAACATACTCTCTGCTGAGGAGTTTCAAGACACTTGAACCACATACTGCATATAAACAAAAATGCCCTGATTAAATTCGTAATTGTGCCCATGATTGGATTTTCTACCATAAGGATTGTGACATTACACTGCTATAGAACGAATTAAGGCATAAGTGCTTTTGTGTACATAAAACCAGTTGTAAAACCAAATACTTAAATGGAGGGTCCGCTTGCTCTTCAGTGATCGAGCAATTTAAAATTTGTAGGTTGGAGGAAGCCATTTTTATGGAGGTTTCACAATAGAATTAGGTTTCCTCTGTGTTCACTGTGAAACTATAAGAAAGATCTGAAAGCCAGTACAGAGATGACAATATTTAAATTGGTTCATATTTTCTTAGTTTTGTTTTGAAGTAGATTGAACAAGGCAATGCATTGAGAAAGCTGCAATATAAAGTCTAGCCTGGACTGGAGTGACGTGCATATAGTTATCCATATTTGGCTTTAAGCTACCTTTGGGGCCACAATGTAGCAGGATAGTGAAAACCAACAGAAAACAACTTGCATCCTCAAGATAAGTGCAAGAAGTCTCTCAAGGTGGACTTTGTCATCACAATAAATTAGAGTTTCAGAAATATTTGGAGGCCCAGTGTGCAGTGCAGAAGCAGCAAGCACTGGGGCTCATGTTATAAGATAATCTGCATAGTTAAGAAGACAGAGACAGAAACTAAAGTATCACTCTCTAGAAAGGAGAAGAGCAAACACAATACATATGGCGCAGGGGGCTACACAGTATATTCCTACAGTCAGGAAGATGGTGATTGATTGACAGCTATAATACAGGCAAGAAGAATAACAGGTGAGTAATTTTTTCGCCATAGCACACGTTGCACTTGGTTGCACGGGAAGGAGGAGAAAAATAACAAACTGTGGTGGTGGAACAGCAGAGAAGGAGTGATATTATTAGGCAGGTGAGCAATCAAGTCTTAATTGATGATGGAACAAGGGATTGAGAAAAGTACAAAAATGTGATGTGGCAAAGTCTGACATGTTTGATTGATAAGGATAGTAATTTTAACACAACTGTCCCAATGTAAGGGTATCAGGAGTACAGGAGAAACAGACCAGGCTCATCAACTTGACAGATGGTGCTGGATGGAGCTTTACAGATTTCTAAAACAGAGTAGTCCGCAAGGCAGAGTCTGCAAATTGGATAGGCTTCATTTAAATCAAACCAATACATGTGTAGTGGAATGGATTTCAACTATCCATTCAACTATACAAGAGGTACATCCAAAAGCACATAGAGAAGGGTTAAGAATGCTGGGAGTAGGATAGATAGGTTATGTGGGGGAGGAATAGAAACTAGTTTTGAGCAAACATAAGATCTGAGAAAGATAGTGAAGGAAATAAATTAAAAATTAGAAGTCAAAGAGTATAAGAATATGAAGTCAAAGTTGCAGTGTTTATATATAAAGTTCAAAGAATTTATAATAAAATTGAGAAACCACATACATTACTAAATAGGGAGGGAAATCTATAGTGTCATTAACGGAACTTTTAAGGTCATAAAGTAGGCTGAATGACCTTTCTCACTGTAGTTATCTTGAAACAAGATCAGTGGAAGAGCTAAGACCTACACAAGTGCAAATACCTCCTCTTCAGTGCTATTTATTTTCCATAAATAGAATTAATTTGAAAAATTAAATTCTGCAAGCTACAAGTACCTTTCTGGATTGAAATTCAATCAGCACATATATTCATGAACATGACTCATCCACTACTTCAACACACTGACAGCAATAACATAGGTGATTACATAAACACAGTCAACAACATGAACTGCCCAGAAGAGGTTTATTACTCTTGAAAAAAAATTGCACCTTTGTAAAGTTAAAGTATAGAAATGATCACAATAAAAGATCAAATGCAATCTTTTGAAATTTTTTAGCAAGGTACTGGGGAAGCTGAAAGGTCTGAAGATGGATAAATAAACCTGGACCAGATGGACTACACCGCAGAGTTCTGACAGAGATAGCGGAGGAGATTCTACAGGTAATGATGATGATCCTTCAGGAATCACTGGAGTAGGTTTAAGGAGGGAGGGAAGCAGAAGACAGGCCGGTTAGCCTGACCTCTGTCGAAGGTAAGATTTTAGAGTCCATTATTAAGGATAAGATTGAAATACTTGGAAGTACATGGTAAAATAGGGCTGAGTCAGTGCAGCTTTGTCTTGGGGAGGTCATGCCTGACAAATCTTTGTCTAATTTGCTCATTACCACCTCAAAGGACAGCCAATGGATGTGATCGATTTAGATTTCAAGAAGGTCTTTGACAAGGTCAGGAGGCTGTTAAATAAGATAACAGCCCATGGCGTTAGGGGGCAAGGTACCAGTACTGATATAGGATTGGTTGACTGGCGAAAGGCAGAAAGTGGGGAGAAATGGTCTTTTTCAGGACGGCAGCTGTTGACTAGTGGAGTCCTCAGGGGTCAGTGGTGGGACCAGGACTATTCATGTTACACATTAATGATCTGGATGAAAGAACTGAGGGTACTGCTGCTAAGTCTGCAGATGACAGATAGGTGGAGGGAGAAATTGTGCTGAGGAAGTGGAGAGGCTGCAGAAGAACTTGGACACACAAGGAGAGTGGGCAAAGAAGTGGCAGATGGAATATAATGTGGGAAAGTGTGATGTTATGCACTTTGGTGGGAAGAATAGAGGCAGAGACATTTTTATAAAGGGGGAAAGGCTTCAGAAATCTGAAGCACAGAGACTTGGGAGTCCTTGTTCAGGATTCTCTTCAGGTGAACATGCAGGTTCAGTTGGCAGCTAAGAAGGCAAATGCTCCTCTCTCTCATGGTCTAGTCATTCGAGAAGCAGCAAGCAGTTAGGAAGCAGTTGGAAGTGGCGGCAGAGAATGATTCGCCAAGGTTCCTTTCACCTAAGCAGAGGTCAAAACCTTTACCAGCGTTGAGATTGTGCCTTTTGCCAAGGCTAGCACTAACGGCATTAATGGGGGCTCTAGCAGGAATGGGGGAAGGAGATGGCTGGGTTGGGGGTTTCATAATTGATAGGAGGTCAATGAGAGGAGGAAGCCACAAGGGAGTTGGTGGTGACCAAATACAGATCATTAAAATTATGAAATGTTTTGATAAATTGAACACAGAATGGGTCAATTTGTGGGGAAGAGCATAAATAGAGACTCTCACCATAACAATGAGATGTTTACTAAGAAATTCAACAGGAAATTCAGATGAAATTTCTTTACCTAGAGTGGTGGGAATGTAGAACTTGCTACCAGATGGTGTGTTTAACACCAACAGAATGGATTTAATCAAGCGGGAAACTCTAAAGGTGGAAGAAGTGGAAACAGAAGATTATGATGATCGATTTAGACAAGATGAGAGGAAACTCCAGTGGAGCATACGTGCCGGCATGGATTGGTTGGGCCAAATAGCTAGTTTCAGTGTGTATATTGAATGAAATACTAAATTAAGGAAAAGTAAAGAAAGAGAAAGAAAGATTAGATGGAGAGTGGGGAGGAAGCAAGGTATAAAACAAATTAAATCTCCTAGAATATAGTGAGGTCATCAGTCAGTACAAATGATTGTCCTTTCTTGAAACTGCGCAGTAATGAAATTTGTACTGTATCAGCAACGAAGGATAAACAGACAGCCTCAGGCTTCTCTCTCAGTCGACGACAATGACCCCTATAGGGACCTAACTTCAATCACCACATAAAAACCCATTCTCTTGCACAACCATTCTATTTGAAACTAAGCAAATAAATCACTAGTCCCTAGTTTAATTATCTTTTGTCTTTCTCCTGATCCAATTTATGAAAAGATTGTCTTAAAGCATAGCAGAACCAAGACATAAAACATAAGTTGCATGTGAACAATCATTGTACACATTGTGACATTGAATATAGTTGAGGTTGTTGACTTACTCGCCAAGCTGGCTTGTTTTTGTTCAGACGTTTCGTCACCATGCTAGGTAACATCAGTGAGGCCTTGGATGAAGCGATGTTGTTCTACTCTGCTTGGAATTTATACTGAGCGGACAGTCTGAACAAAAACAAGCCAGCTCAGTGAGCAAGTCAACACCCTCACCCACAACCCGAGCTACAAATCTTTGCAAGAAACCTTAAACGTTGAATAAAGGATGTGGACACTCATCTAGCATGCAATTGGTTGGATTTGCTGCATAAACTGGTCTGCAGCTTGTTGCTCTCAGAAATGAATAAGCTGCTTCAAATTTTTCTTTATAGAATCCCTATTCGGCCCAACAAGTCCACACCAACCCTCCGAAGAGCATCCCACCCATAGCCAGACCCATCCCCCCTACCCGATCCCTGTAATCCTGCATTTTCCATGGCTAACGCACCTAACCTACACATTCCTGAACACTATGGGTAATTTAGCATGGCCAATCCACCTAACCTGCACATTTTGGACTGTGGGAGAAAACCGGAGCACCCAGTAGAAACTCACGCAGACACAGGGAGAAAATGCAAATTCCTCACAGACAGTTGTCCAAGACTGGAATTGAACGGGGTCGCTGTCACTGTGAGGCAGCAGTGCTAACCACTGAGCCGCCATGCTGCCCCACAAACAAAATGCCATACTATCAAGCAAAGGTTTTAGGAAGATATTTAGAATTGTTTAAAAAAAAATGAAATTTGTTCCAGGACTTAGACCATGACAACAATTAAACTGAGAATAACATCAGATACAACATTTTCCTGTTAACCATTATTGTTCCTGTTACAACACCGTGGTCATGGAAATCAAACTCCATTATTCCGGAGTCAGGACAAACGTGAAAAAATGTTGTCAAATTATGCAAAATCTCCAATATGTCTAACTGATGAAATCACTCAAGGTATCTGTATTTAACAAGAAGATAGCACAAACAAATTGACTTTAACCAAAGGCAATTAAGAAATATCAAATTGCTAATTTATAACTTTAAAACAAATTCTACCTTTAAAACTCCCCCCTTTCAGAAACAGACAGGCACACAAAGATAAAATATGGATATTAAGGGTGGAGAAAAGAAAAAAAATATAGCACTAATATGACAACAGAAATCGAGTTGTTTTCTTTTTAGCTCTTTGTTGATGAGATGAGGTTTTTGCACATAGGTATCATGTTTCATTTGCTGGTAGAGAATTTGGTGTTTTTTTAAAACTGTCTTTGAAGGAGTTTTATCCTCTTTCAATGTCTAGGAAAGTGAATGAAAGACAGCTAGCTATTCCTGAAGATTTTCAGGTACCTCCACACAGGAGAGACTTTTTGATGTCTTTTTGCAGGTGAGAGGTTTTTCTTCTGCACTAGTCTTACACATGCCATGGTCACATTGGCAGGAGCCAATCAAAATGCTGATGCCTAGCAATTCTCCCCCTCGTGCGGGGGCCACTGGCTCCAGGGCATTTGCCTTTTTTCTCACTGCATATTACTCAACGTTGCTGTCCCCGGCTCAAAGTGCTCCAGTAAACATGACTTTTAAAACTGCAGCTATCCCTTCGCACACAGTCTCATTAATTGAAAGCAGCATCTTCCATTTTTTAGTTGACAGTCCAAACAAAGTCTAACAATGTGATCTTCACATGCTTCCACCCTTAGGAAAGATGAGATGCCATTTCCAGAAAAGGAACATCCCTACTTCTGCAAGAAGGCTTCAACAGTTTCTACTTCCATTTTGTTTTTTTATTACACAAAACCAGGTATTAACTTTTATTCCTTGATCACTTACCAACTCCAAACCCAATCTTTCACTGTCTTTGATCCAAAATATTCAAGCAAAGAGTCACGACTCACTGGGGTGGTGTGGTGCAACAGAGCACGCTACCCCAGCGAAACACGACACTTCAAAGAAACTAAAAACAGAGCTACCCACCAATTCATGCGAAGGCAAATTTCATCAACAGTCATAAAGCATTTTTAAAATTAAAGGATGTCCACATTCAAAATTTCAAATTGATATAGAAAGCACTTCAAACAGAAACCAAACACATTTAATACCACTTTATTAATGCTACTTACCAGAGTCATTTCTCAAATAGGATGACATAGCAGGAATAAGACAGGATTGACTGAGTAACTCCACAAGCACAGAAGGAAGGGCATTATTGTTGTGTCCTCTATTTTCACCAAGCTGTACTTCTCCGGATAAGTTGCTTCCCCCAGGATTTATATAACTGGCAAGAACCTAACAATTCAGCAGATAAACAAATTAGGAATTGGATTGGAAGGTAAAAATAGACTTTGATTCATCATTTTATCCTGAATTCAAAAAGAAAATCATCCTAAAGGTTACAAGAATTTGCAGAGAATATTTTTTGACAATAGTACACTTTGATTTTTAATTTTGTCATTCAAATCTAAAAGCAAAGTCAATTAACCAAATTACATCCAAAATTGCAGTTACGTTTACAGTGAGGCACTGAAAGGTAGGCTACAACAGTTATCAATAGCTTGATACTGTGACCTGGACTTTACTCTTCAGTTGAAGGAAGTTACAATTCACTAAGATCGGATCTCAAATACACTATCAGACAGGATAGCAACAGCCTTGAAACTAACCAAAATGATTGAGATGTAAAGTTAGGTTCGTTGAAACTTAGATGGAAGTTGGACTGATTTTGTTGCAGTGATGCCACCAAGGGGGCTTCTTATTCATTCACTTGTGGGATGTGGGCTTCGCTGGCTTGTCAGCATTTAATTGTCCATTCTCAGATGCCCTTGAGAAGGTGGTGGTGAGCTGCCTTCTTGAACCACTGCAGTCCACAATGCCCCTGGGGAGGGGAACCCAGGACTTTGACCCAGTGACAGTTAAGGAACAGCAATGTATTTCCAAGTCAGGACGAGGAGTGGCTTGGAGGGAACTTGCAGGTGGTGGCGTTCCTGAGTATCTACTGCCCATGTGCTTCTAGATGGAAGTGGCTAAGAGGTTGGAAGGTGCTGTCTGAGAATCTTTGATGATAGTACACACTGCTGTTACTGACCCTCAGTGGTGGAGGGAGTGGACGGTTATGAGTGTGGTGACAATCAGGCAGGCTGCTTTGGTCCTGGATAGTCTCGAGCTTCTTGAGTGTTGAGGGAAAGAGTATTCCAACACAGTCCTGACATATGCCTTGCAGTAGGTAGACAGGCTCTGGGGAGTCAGAAGGCGAGTTACCCACCACAGTCCCAGCCTCTAGTACTCATTCCTAGTAATCCTACCCTCTGACTTGCTCTTGTAGCCACTGTGCTTATGTGGTGAGTTGAATTTCTGACCAATAGTAACCCCAAAGATGCTGATAGTGGGGGATTCAGTGACAGCAACACCATTGAATGTCAAGGGGAGGTGATTAGATTGTCTCTTATTGGAGATGGGCATTGATTGGTATTTGTGTGACGTAAATTTTACTTGCCACTTGTCAGCCCAAGCCTGGATATTTTCCAGATTTTGTTGCATTTGAACATGGACTGTTTCACTATCAGAAGAGTTACAATCGATGCTGAACATCGTTCACTGATGACTGCACATCACCACTTCTGACCTTATGATGGAGGGAAGGTCATTGAAGCAGTTGCTGACGGTTGGGGCTAGGACACTACCCAGAGGAACTCTGCAATGATATCCTGGAGCTGAGACAACTGACCTCCAACAACCACAACCATCTTCCAATGTGGCAGGTATGATTCGAATCAGTGGAGAATTTGCCCCCCAATACACACAGTTTCCAGTTTTGCTAGGGGTCCTTGATACCACACTCGGTCGAATGCGGTCCTGATGTCAAGGGCTGTCACTCTCACTTCATCTCTGGAATTCAGCTCTTTTGTCGATGTTTGAACCAAGGCTGTAATTAGGTCAGAAGCTAAGTGATCCTGGCAGAACCCAAACTGGGCATCACTGAACCGGTTATTGCTGAGCAGGTGTTGCTTGATAGCACTGTCGATGGAAGGTGTCATCACTTTACTGATGATCGAGAGTAGACTGATGGGGCAGTTATTGGCATGCTCTGTGTGTACAGGACATACCTGCGCAACTTTCCACATCGCCAGGTAGATGCCAGTGTTGAAACTGTACTGGAACAGCCTGGCTAGGGAAGCGGCATGTTCTGGAGTACAAGTTTTCAGTACTACTGTTGGAATGTTGTCAGGGCCCACAGTCTTTGTAATGAACAGTACCTCCAACTATTTCTTGGTATCATGTAGAGGGAATCAAATTGGCTCAAGCCTGGTGTCTGTAATGCTGGGGACCACTGGAGGAGACTGAGGGAAGGGAGGCAGTGTGGTGCCTTGGGATTGCTGAAGGTGATGTTGCAAATATCAGTATTAAGTAATTATGGTTACACTGAAAGAGAGCAACAGCGAGAGCAAGGCGAGGGTGAGAACGCGTGTGCGCGAGTAACCTGAGGTACACGAGACAAAGGGACAAGGCTACAAAAGCTCGCATTCAAATAAACCTGTTAGACTATATCCTGGTGTTGTGGGATTTTGACCTGAGACAGAATAGGGGAGAGGGATAGAGATAGAGAGAAAGAAAGAGAGAAAGAAAGAGAGAAAGAAAGAGAGAAAGAAAGAGAGAAAGAGAGAAAGAAAGAAAAGGGGAGATAGATAGTACAGGGCAAGTTAATGTCATGGAACTAGACTGCAGTGAAGTGGTATTAAATCAAACATTATAGTCAATTATTGCTAAGGCTGCAAGAAGTCAACATGGATGAGAAAGAATAAATAATAACCAGGAAAATAACAGTTCGTTCAAGAATCTTAAACTCAAAAGTTTGACTGAAAGATAGGACAGAAGTCTGTAAGGACACGGAGGCAATTAGGGCTTTTGTTGAGATAGGAATTTCAACAGAATTTAAAAATTGGGGTGTACAGTGCCTGAGAAATGGCAGCTAATTAAGATGAACTTGGTGAAAGGGTAATTCCCTAAACCAGTCACCACCTAGGTGACAAACTTGAAACTCAATTCCCTGATCTCTCTTTGGAGCCAAGATGTTCTTGAAGACTAGAGGCACAGGGGAGGGGTTTAAGGAGATGGTTAACAACAGAGAAAAAAAATCCATCTGGGGCTATCTTTGCCTTCCAAACTGATCATTAAATCCATGGGTTTTTTTGACAGTGAGTAAGGTCCAGTAGACCTTAAGAGTCAAGTCAATTCTGGAAATGGATGGGAAAGTCAATTGCCTGTCAGTTAAGCATTTGTTTGCTCCCTTCAAGAAGTCATAGTGGAAACTGTGTAAGGAGGACCAAGCTGAATGGTATCAATGTGGACTTCACAAGCTTCAAAATCTCCCCTCCCACTACCGCATCCCAAAACCAGCCCAGTTCGTCCCCGCCTCCCTAACCTGTCCTTCCTCTCACCTATCCCCTCCTCCCACCTCAAGCCGCACCCCCATCTCCTACCTACTAACCTCATCCCGCCCCCTTGACCTGTCCGTCTTCCCTGGACTGACCTATCTCCTCCCTACCTCCCCACCTACACTCAGGATACAAGACATATGTATTTTGAAAAATGGAAACGTTCGAACATTGAAAGTTGGTAAGTCAGTTAGTCAGCATTTACCTGCAGAAGACAGGTAACATGCTCCTCCTCCAGTCTCTGCTTAGTTAGAGCTTGTTCCACATCCCAACCTGATGCAGTAGAACCTGTTCCAAAGCCTGTGCCTTTGGCCCAATATAACTGCTGGTCTTCAGTAGAAGAGTTTGTGTGCACACTGGAAACTTGCGGCTGTTTGAGAAGAAAAAAAAGTTGAAAACTTCCTTGTCAGTCATTAACCAAAGATGCAATTACAGTTTACACAGACACAAACAATATCAATACATATTTATGCAAATGTATGTTTGAGAGCAAATACATTGACAAGCACAGTTCTAGTTCTGCCCTTTGACTTCTCCGCTTTTTCAACAGGAATTTAATCCCTGTCTCAAAAACCACAACTTAAGTAACAAATGGATCCAAAATTGTTCACAGTCTTGAGTATATCGTTAATGTGGTTATCAAGCTGGCAAAATGTCTATTTTAAATGAAAACCATCAACATACCTATTTATTTTCACTTCCTACGGGATTAAGTATATCTACAATTTACATTAATCTGTTTGTAAAACTTTATAAACACATATTGAATAGTTGAAAACCAATTCATGAATAAATATTGAGTTATTTTAACCCAACGATCACTGCACTTCAAAACTATTTCATTTTTTCAGTCTGTTGAAATATTTGGATGCATTAAGAAATGCAAGTATTTACTATGACAGTTTTTAAAAATAAACTCAATTGTGATTCTTAAATGCTCAAGATTAACACTTCCACATCAAACCTCTTGAAATTGCTAACGTGGAAATTATGTTTCGTTACAGACATATCTGAAAATAAAAAGATGAAGAAAACTAAACCAACATAAATTGGACTCTCTTAGGCCAAAACCTACTGTGAACTTTGGAATTGTCAGAACCCTAAGAAATGATCTCAAAACATGTTTGTTTCCAGCATCATCACGACAATGTTAGGAATAAAATCTCTGCTAACCAAAGATATACACCGACTTCCACTGATAGTTTTAAGGATTGCATCAACAATCAAATTTATTCACATAAAACAAAAGTTTCTAAACTACATATGAACCAGCACGAAGTAGTATTGAAGTTTGTGATTATTAATACAGAGGACTTACGCAGAGGCAAGATCCTCTTAACTGTAATACAGGAGCACTTTGACTACACAATCTATGGACATCACATTGGTCCAATATCTTTTCCTCATTCTTGTCTGGACCACAAACTGGTCAGTTGTTACTGCTTAAATGCAAGTCTAATAAAACACTCGAGGGAAAATGCTATGTAGTTCACTTGATGGAATCACATAATTGCAGCCAAAATCAACATAGCATCCACTGTCATGTGCAATAAATATTATCTGTGATTACAAATAATTACCTCACCCGCCAACTTAAACATTCAAATTTACTTTACCAAGTCTTCTGCATCAATACCTCCTAGACCTACCTACAAGAAAAGGGAACAGACATACGGAAATGCCTCCACTTTACACACCATTCAAACTATCATGGCACCTAGACCGAAATCTTGAAATTCCCGACTGAGCGAGCAACTAAGAGTGCAAATAGAATGCTGGTCTTTATTGCAAGCAGATTTGGGAACAGAATAAAGATGACTTGATACAATTATATCATACAATTACGTAAGGCTTTGGCAAGATCACATCTGAAATACTGTGTGCAGTTTTGATCTCCATGTTTAAAAGGAGGATATATTTGTTTTGGGGTTGGTGTAATCAAATTTCACTACATTAGTCCCTAGGACGAAGAGTTTGTCCTATGAAGAGAAGAAGAAGAAAGTCGGCTAATTTTCCAAGGTATGTGAGAGAAGACCTCATTGAAACATGTAAGATTTTGAAGGGGGTTCATAGGATAAATGCGGGGACACTGTTTCCACTATTTGGGAAATCTAAAACATGAGGCCACAAGATAAGGAGCAATCATTTAGTACTGCACTGAGGAGAAATCACTTCAATGAAACTGTTGGGAATCTTTGGAATTCGTCAGCTCATCCCAGGTTGGTGGATATCCAATACAGAATACATTTAAGACTAGGGCAGGCAGATTTCAAGTATATCAGGAAAGGATACAGGGAGTGGGTAGAAAACGGGATTTGATGCCCAAGATTAGCCATGATCACATTCAATGGTGGACCAGTCTAAATGGGCAGAACAGTATTTTTTTGCTCTTGATTTCTAACAATTTTGTGGGTGCACCTACACCACGATGACTGCAGTAGATTAAGGAGGGAGTTCATTGGTACTTCTTCAAGTGCAAATAGGGGTAAGCAATAAATGCTGGTCTTGCATGTACATCCCATAGGAATATGAAAATGTTACATGCATATTGTTCAATTGAGAGATTTGGATATAAAGCCTTCAGACATCTCAATTTGTTTCTAAAACCAGCATGTTCAGAGATTTAGTGAATGAGTTATGTCAATTGAACAGATGTAATTAAAACCCAGAATAAAATCAAAGTGAAAAAAAATGCTAGTAGAGGGTTCTGATGACAGGTCACGATGCTTCTCTCTACAGAAGCTGCCTGAACTGTTAAGTGTTTATAGCATTACAGTGATTTAATTTTGTATCAGTAGTTAGAACCTGGATTGATATTTAACTTCAGGCTGAGCTCACCTCTGTTTGGTTAGCACCTGCATTGGGCACCCTTGGGGCATGGTGGCTAAGTGCAGAAAGGCAAGCCAGTATAAGATGAATTGCTCCAATTTCCAAAGCCATCCGCCGAAGGAGAACTCCATCATCAGTAGTCAATGGTGTGGTACTGAATAAAGTGCACAAAACGTGGAATGGAAGTGTGGGAAGAACATTTGCTGATGGAGATTGTAGGATGTGACCTAATACGAGAAAATGAACATCATTTAAAATTTTGTTACGTTGACTTAACATTCAACAAAAATAAATATTTAAATGAGAAGTAATTTTACATTATGCAACTCTCACCACTATAAGGAGCACAGAAACACTATATCAGAGATTAATTCAGTCAAGAAATTGTTCAAACACAAATCTTTTCATAAAGATACTTAAAAATTCTGATTACAATCATTCTCTAAAAGTATAACTAATTGCATGTAATGGGAATCTAGAAGATTAGAGATTAACAATTTTAAAGTGAGTCAAAGGCAACAAATTCTGCATCACAATCTGTGAGCATGTGAATCACAGGTCATACATACTGCCTTCACCATCATCTGTTACGCCGAGCACCAATCTGAGCAAGCACTGGGCATGTTTCCGTTCTTTGAGGAGTACTTCTGCATATCCTGGTAAACGAAGGAAGAGTCCAAAGGCTGCGAGAGAATGTGCTGGGATGGGAGACATTGCAGGAACAGTTGATTTGATTGGTGGTGGCTCTGCAGTTATGGTTTCAGGAGCCTCGTAGACTAATTCACCAGACTGTTCTATTGTAACCCATTCAAACTGTTCATTGTCCTTCGGTTTCTCTTGGGAAGTCGAAGTTACTACTGGAGCACTCACCTAGATGTACAAACAGCAGAGGTCACATATTAACGTCAAAAACATCATTCAATTCATTTACTAAATTATGGAATCTTGTAAAATCCCTAAACTTCAGGCTCTGAGTCAATAAAATCCTATAGCAGATGACTGTCTTCTCAACTCGTTAAGTGCTTACTATCCTTTAACATTGTTCACCTTTAAATTTACCAGCAAATTATGCAGAGACTTTTAGGAATTATCTTATGCCACTTCTGGTGTCTATTAAATTGATCAGAAGCCAATTACAGTCTTTCAGAATTTCAGTTCCTTTGATTGCAATGCACTTCAGCAACAATGAATGAATAGTTCTGGATTCAAATAAACTTTCGATAGTCCAAGTTGATGAGCAAACAGGAAACAGTAGAGACTGAGAATGGTGGTATTGCCTGTGTACAGCAGTCTGTTGAGTGTAATAGTACAAGGTACGCAAAATAAAGCCGACATTATTTCAATACTGACATCAGTTTGTCAATGGGCAAGAATAAAAGAACCTGCATGAGAACATTTCCAAATTAAAGTTGTGGGGATGAGCAGCAAAAGAAACTTGTAAAAGTCTGTTACCATTAGAAACAAGGTTGTTGCAATAAGGGATATGAAACTATTTGCATATGGGCAACACTTTACTGACAGTTTTGGCAGGTGGGAAAGAGGCAAGACCAGAAAGCAAGGTCTGTAAAGAAAAAGAATGACGTATAATTAGATGGATTCAAGGTTTAGGTTTAGAAAGCCTGTGACAGCAAGCGGAGGGGAAATAGTTTCTCAATCTGTGAATAGAGCTTAAACAAATTTTAAAAAGCAGACCTACCAAAGTCCATAAAATTGTGTCCTTCAAAATAGGTCATGTAAAATTCATATGATCTTGGAGAACATATGGATCATTGGAGGAACTACTTTAAATTGAGGGGTTAGTGAGACAGGTGATCGACAATGACAAAGTTTCATTAGTTTGAAGATGCCACCTGGATCCAATTAAAAGTTCAAAAGTATTGTGGAATAATTTTGAGATCAGTGCTGACAACTGTAGTATTGAAATTATATTCCCTGAAAAGACACATGATTGCAGAAGAGCCCCCAAGTATGCAAATTTATTAAAGCCTTTTATGAATCTGTGTGAAAATCATGAAACCTCAATTATTATTACATTTCACTGTTGCTGAGACCACACTTCAAATATGAACATGACAGACGCATATCACGAGCGCCAAGCTACAATTTGATCTGGTTCCATAATATTGGTGGCAAATAATATTGCACCTCTCTTTCGAGAATAGAAAGTGGGCTTGAAGCAGTGCAAGTTCATAAACCAGAGCCTATGTCCTTAAGAGAACTGAACAGAGGAAGAGACAACAAGGTGCAGGGCTGGATGAACACAGCAGGCCAAGCAGCATCATAGGAGCAGAGAGGCTGACGTTTCGGGCCTAGACCCTTCATCAGAAAAGGGGGAGGGGAAGGGGGTTTTGAAATAAATAGGGAGAGAGTGGGAGGCGGATAGAAGAGGGATAGAGGAGAGGATAGGTGGAGAGGAAACAAACAGGTCGAGGAGGCGGGGATGGGGCCAGGAAAGGTGAGTGTAGGTAGGGAGTTAGGAAGGGGATAGGTCAGTCCAGGGAGGACGGACAGGTCAAGGGGGCGGGATGAGGTTGGTCGGTAGGAGATGGAGGTGCGGCTTGAGGTGGGAGGAAGAACAGGTTAGGGAGGCAGGGATGAGTTGGACTGGTTTTGGGATGCGGTGGGGGGAGGGGAGATTTTGAAACTTGTGAAATCCACATTGATACCATTGGGCTGCAGGGTTCCCAAGCGGAATATGAGTTGCTGTTCCTGCAACCTTCGGGTGGCATCGTTGTGGCACTGCAGGAGGCCCAGGATGGACATGTCGTCTGAGGAATGGGAGGGGGAGTTGAAATGGTTCGCGACTGGGAGGTGCAGTTGTTTGTTGCGAACCGAGCGTAGGTGTTCTGCAAAGCGGTCCCCGAGTCTCCGCTTGGTTTCCCCGATGTAGAGGAAGCCACACCGGGTACAGCGGATGCAGTATACCACATTGGCCGATGTGCAGGTGAACATCTGCTTGATGTGGAAAGTCTTCTTGGGGCCTGGGATGGGGGTGAGGGAGGAGGTATGGGGGCAGGTGTAGCACTTCCTGCGGTTGCAGGGAAAAGTGCCGGGTGTGGTGGAGCTGGAGGGGAGTGTGGAGCGGACAAGGGAGTCACGGAGAGAGTTGTCCCTCCGGAAAGCAGATAAAGGTGGGGAGGGAAAGATGTCTTTGGTGGGGTCGGATTGCAGATGGCGGAAGTGTCGGAGGATGATGCGTTGGATCCGGAGGTTGGTGGGGTGGTACGTGAGGACGAGGGGGATTCTTTTTTGGTTTTTATTGCGTGGACGGGGTGTGAGGGATGAGGTGCGGGAGATGTGGGAGACACGGTTGAGGGCATTCTCGACCACCGAGGAGGGGAAGTTACGGTCCTTGAAAAACGAGGACAACTGAGATGTACGGGAGTGGAATGCCTCATCCTGGGAGCAGATGCGGCGGAGGCGAAGGAATTGGGAATAGGGGATAGCATTTTTGCAGGAAGGTGGGTGGGAGGAGGAGTATTCTAGGTAGCTGTGGGAGTCGGTGGGCTTGAAATGAATATCGGTTTCTAGGTGGTTGCCCGATATGGAGACAGAGAGGTCCAGGAAGAGGAGAGAGGTGTTAGAGATGGTCCAGGTAAATTTAAGGTTGGGGTGGAAGGTGTTAGTGAAGTGTATGAACTGTTCGAGCTCCTCGTGGGAGCACGAGGCGGCGCCGATACAGTCATCAATGTAACGGAGGAAGAGGTGGGGTTTAGGGCCGGTGTAGGTACGGAAGAGGGATTGTTCCACGTAACCTACAAAGAGGCAGGCGTAGCTTGGGCCCATGCGGGTACCCATGGCTACCCCCTTTGTCTGTAGGAAGTGGGAGGAATTGAAAGAGAAGTTGTTGAGTGTGAGGACGAGTTCGGCTAAGCGGATGAGGGTGTCAGTGGAGGGGGACTGGTCGGGCCTGCGGGACAGGAAGAAGCGGAGGACCTTAAGGCCATCTGCATGGGGAATGCAGGTGTAGAGGGACTGGACGTCCATGGTAAAGATGAGGTGTTGGGGACCGGGGAATTGGGAGTTCTGGAGGAGGTGGAGGGCGTGGGTGGTGTCACGGACATAGGTAGGGAGTTCCTGGACCAAGGGGGAGAAAATGGAGTCGAGATAGTTGGAAATCAGTTCCGAGGGGCAGGAGCAGGCGGAGACAATGGGTCGACCAGGGCATTCAGGTTGAACTGTTTCCAAGATGGAATGAAAACAGAGTCTGAAAATAGCATTACAACATCAAACTTTGCACAATTAATACTTGGCTTGGGATTTTCATAGGTACACAATACACGGATTATTAAAATAAATATTTATAAGTTCACAAAATATTATTCCCCAAAGTTACATAACTTACATTACATTACTTACAAAATCACGGTTTTCCAATAGTTGCCTTGTGTCTGTTCCTTTAAAAGATCTGTTGTTTCACCATAAAAATCCGCAACAGCACTGCAGTTACACATTTATCAACAGCATCTAAAACTGCAGCTGAATGTCAACTGAGAAAGGATTTTGCCTTTACATCATTATCTTTTCTGTACAACCAAATTCAAAGATTTAAATGACAGTGAATTGTGTCATGTAATTGGCTTAATAATGGTCACTGTCAATTGGAGATTCAAACAAGCAAAGATTCTTTTGTTCATTTGTCAGGGAGGTTCAAATCCCCTCAAGATTCAAAATGCTCAAGCAATTATGAGCTTTATAAATTCTATTTGACTAGGTACATAAATTTAAATCAAACGTACAAACGAACCGACTTTCAAAATCCAGCTGTTAGTCTCATTATTATAGGATTCAGCAGCTTTTACACCAAGACCGATTGTTTAGAAAATTTGTCTTTAATTGTTGATGGAGTCATCTATCATCTAAATATTCCACATCATGTCTCAAAATAAAATACTTGTGTATTTAGTGAGGTTGTTCCATCACAATATGAAACATGTCACCAAAATTAAACCAAAGTAAGAAAATATTAAACATGCTCACTAAAAAAAAGCAAAGTGGAATCAATTAGCAATACAGTGTGGTTAGGTCAATATTGGTAAAGCTTTTCTGATCAATGTCAACATCTGGGACAGACAGCAAAAGGTACCAAGCTGCATCACACGTTAGGGAAGTTTTAAAATGGAACGCAACAGCTAACCTCTTCAAATAAACAGGACTAGTAAGCTGCAAGTAAGCAGAACAGAGTTGCTCTATGCAAATACCAAAAATATTTATTTGGCTATTTTGATATGCTGATTGCTTAATATTTAATCTAATATAAAATACTGCAATTTCAGAGGAAATTTTAACCATGCCAAATATATGCCACTCCTATATACTGAAATTTAATACATATATAAATCAAAAATTAACAATATAATTCTTATGAGGGACTCATGACATTAGGGATTTTATCTCTAATACTCAAGGTTCTACTGTGCCATTCACTAGCTGTTAGTACTCTGGCTTGCCTCCAACCCCGTCTCTTCCACACCCCAAAACAGAAGAATCAAGGTTCACAGTCTGCTCACAGATCTCTTTCACAGTTACCAGAACCTGCATGGAGGACATTTTTGCTGCTTACTGCTCTTTGCTTCCTCAGAAAAGTACTGATCTCAGCAGCTCAATAAACATTTTATAGGTACAAGAATTTTATAGGTACAAACCCAAAATTCAACAGTGCCATAATTGGAGCAAAGGTACATGCCTGCTTGTCATTCTTCAAATGGGAGAAAAGTGCAAGTTTCTATGAAGATTTGGAAAAGTTGTCATAAACTAGAGATTCTAATAACTTCTGATGGCTTTCTGAAACATGGTGAAACTTCACATAGCCTTACATGTCAGGACAGTCTGATGAATGATTGTGGAATATATCAGCAAAAATATCACTTACTTGCTGGATAACATCAGGATACAACATTGGCAGCCTTTCTGCTATAAGTGCTAGCCCACCCATGCCAGCAAACACCTGAAGTGGAGACTGGATAGGATTTGTTTCGAGCAAAGATTCATCCAAGACACTATCTATGCAGTCATCACTTGGCTGCAAAACTTCATCTTCAGGACAGCTGGTGAGACCATCCCCAAGTTCTGCATAAAAGTGGACATAAATTAGCCTCCCAAATAAAACATGAAGAATCTAAAGCAACACTGCCACAGCAAAGTACTGACATTGAATCAATCCATTAACAGTCAGATAAGTAAATGTTTAAGAACATGCACCACAAAGGTTATACAGGTCACAAGACTGATCAGTTATTGTAGAAATACATTTAAAATACAATTAGTAAGTCAGAAATCTTGATAAAATTCTGAAGCTATTTTGCATGGCCAAAAGATGTTGTAATAATAGTATAGGTTGAATCTGATCCGAAAGCTGTATTTAAGATTCAGTTTTTATTCCAAACAGTTCCACAGTATGTATCAAATAGACTCCATTCTCCAAGATGTTAAAGTTAAACAAGTAATTTAAAACTCAAGTTCAATTCAAGTAAATCTAAATTACAACTATTTTAGATTTTAAGTTACAAAGCGACTGTTAATTTATTTATTTAGGCTTGGATCAGTAAAGCTTATTTCATATTTACAAAGGATTACACATGGTCTATGGCACAGATCCCTCTTGATATCCTCCCCACTGCCAGAGATACCCTATTCACTCCACACGATATCAAGAAATAGTTGAAGGTGCTGGATACTACAAATGCCCCAGCAACATTCTGGCAATAATACTGAAGACTTGAGTTCCAGAACTTATTGCACCTCTGTTCTACTACACCTACAACATGGGCATCTACCTGACAGTATGGAAAATTGCCCTATTATATTCTTCCACATAAAAAGCAGAACAAATCCAAACTGGCCAATACCACCCTCTCAAACTACTTTGAATCATTAGTAAAGTAACAGAAGGAGTTAGACAGTGAAACAGGGTCTAGGCCCGAAACGTCAGCCTTCCTGCTCCTCTGATGCTGCTTGGCCTGCTGTGTTCATCCGGCTCTACACCTTGTTATCTCAGATTCTCTAGCATCTGCAGTTCCTACTATCATCTGCTCACTGATCCTTAGTTTGGGTATTGCCAAGGCTATTCAGCTCCTAACCTCGTTATTACCTTGTTTCAAACATGGGCAAAATGTGTGCTGAACTCCATAGTGAGCATGATTGTCCTTGCCACCAATGTCACATTTGACTCAGTGTAGCAAAAAGGGGCCAAAGCTAAACCGGAGATCAATGGGAATTGGAAAACCTCTTCAATAGTTGCAGTCACACCTGGCACAAAGGTAGACAGTTATAGTTGTTGAAAGTCAGCCATCTCAACCAGAGGACATCTCTGCAGGAGTTCCTCAGAATAGTTATTTGAGCAATCTGGTCAGACAGTTATGACATGTCTGAGGCTGGTGGAACTTGAACCTGGATCTTCTGGCCTTCATGTGGGGACAGTACCACTGCACCAGTAGATCCTAGTTCCACATTTTCTAATCAATCTGTTCAGAGATGCTATCACACACCTCTGGCTCATGAGGTAGGGACACCACCACTGCATCACAAGTGCCCTTAGTTCCTCAGGGCAATATTTTAGGTTCAACAATCAATAGTTGCTTCATCAATGACTTTTGCTCCACAATAAGGTCAAAAATAGAGCTATTTGATGATTACACAACATTCAGCACGTTCACGATTCCTCAGATACTGAAGCAGTCCGTGTTGAATCACACCAAGACACGGACAATATCCTGACAAATAACACTGGTGCCACACAAATGCTACGGCACTGACCAGCTCCGCAACAGCGAATCTAACCATTGCCACTTGATAGTCAATGGCATCACAATGACTAAACTCTTCTCCCTCTCTCGCCTCACCACCTCCCCAACCCCAACAATTCCAACATTTTAGGTGTTAGCATTGACTAGAAACCAAACTGGACTAGTCATACAAATACCGTGGTGGGCTCCTGTGTTATGGTGATAGTGTTCCTCCCTCTGAGACAGGAGGCCCAGGTTCGAGGCCCAACATCTCCAGAGGGGTGTAATGATATCTCTGAACAATTTGATTAGAAAATACCTCCAAATACTGTGGCTTCAGGAGTTATTCACCCTTTCCACCAATGGCACTCAGTACTGCAATGTGTCAAGGGCAGCAGATACAGGGTAACACCATCACCTGCAAGTTTCCCTCTAAGCCACTCACCACTGACTTGGAAAATATCTACATTCCTCCAGTATCACTGGGTCAAAATCCTAGAATTCACTCCCTAATAAAAATGTAGGCGCATCTACAACAAATGAGTTGCAACAGTTCATGAAGGCAGCACCTTTGCCAGGGCAGCTAGAGATTAGTAATAAATGCTGGTGCACACATCAGTCCACATCTCATTAAGGAAATAAAAAAGGCCAGTAAATGACAGCATTTAAGTTTTACTTGCATTTCCTGCCATTTTTTCTATCCAATCTTATTATAAACTTATCCCTTCTCCTTCAAATATTTGACCAGTTTCTTCTTAAAGGCATCTACACTTTTTGTTTCAACCACACCCAGTGATCATGAGTTTGACATTCATAACACACTTCTGAATTTCTTGGTGTCTGTGTTACACCGATTAGGAAGTAACACAACTAAAGCCAGAGGAAACATTCTGTAACCTACTACATAAAAATTCATCATGATTTCAGAGTTCAGATTTCTGAAGCCTTTCCCAATTTACAAAATAATCTACGGCTCTATTCTTCCTACCAAAGTGCATAATCTCTCACATTCTTACATTGCATTCCATCTGTCACTTCTTTGCCCACACTCTTAGCCTGTCCAAGTCCTTCTGCAGGCTCCACACTTTGTCAACACTACCTGTTCTTACACCTACCTTTGTGTCATCTCAAATTTAGCAACAGTATCTTCAGTTCCTTCATCTAGATCATTAACGAATAACATGAGTAGTTGTGGCATTTGACTAGTCACCGGCTCTGACCCGGAAAAAGACCCTTTATCCCCAATTTCTGCCTTCTGCCAGTCACCCTATCCTCTATCTATGCCAGCCACAGGATAAAAATCCATTGTGTTGGGAGCTTATTAGCAAAGAGGATTGACCAGCTAAGAGAAGACAAAGAATTGGGATAAAAGTGAAATGTTTAGACTGCCACAGAATTCAGTGCTGAAGCCATATTTATTTACAATTAAATGCATGACTTGGATGAGGGAAGTGAATGTGCTATTCTCAAGTTTGCAGATTGTAGAAAAATTGCGGAAACAAATGACAAGGATGACCAGAGGGAAATGGACAGGTTAAGTGAGTGGGCCAAAGTTTAGCAAATGGAATGTAATGTTGGAAAATGGGTGGTTATGCACTTTGGCAGGAATAATACAAGAGGTGGACAGTATTTAAATGGCAAAAGCATGCAGAACACTACGGCATGGTGGGATTTCAGGGTCCTTGTGCGTGGATCCCAAAAGACTAGCATAAAGATTTAACAGGAAACAGGAAAGGCAAATGGAATGTTGGCCTTTATTCCAAAGGGAATGGAATATAAAAAGAAGAACGTCTTGCTAAAAGTACACAATGCATTTGTCAGACTACACCTGGAATACTAACCATTGACTAATTTTAATCACCTTATCTAAGCAAAAAAATATTGACATTGGAGGCAGTTCAGAGAAGGCTCACTAAATTGATTCTAGGTTTAGCAGGATTTTATGAAGAGACGTTGAGTAGGTTGGGCTTGCCCTTACTAGGGTTTAGAAGCATGACAGAATTGAGAGGAGACCTGATTGAAACATAAGATTCTCAGGGGGCTTGAAGGGCAGATGTGGACAAGTTGCTTTCCCTTGTGAGAATGTTTAGGATCAGACAGCATAATATCAAAGCAGGGGATCACGCATTTAAGACAAAAGTGAAGAAGAATTTTTTTCTTTCAGTGGATAGTAAATTTATAGAATTCTTTACTGCAGAGGGCTGCCAAGGCTGGGGTGTTAAGTATATTCATGGGTGAGATAGGTAGGTTTCAATCACTAAGGGCAAAAAGGGTTAAGGGGGAAAGGCAGGAACGTGGAGTTGAAGATTCTCAACACAGCCATGACTTTATAGTACGGCAGAGTCGATCTGATGGTCAAAGAGCTTACTGCTGCTACAACATCTTATGAATTGTGTGTATGTCTGTGTGTGTTCTTTTTTTGAAAAGGGGTGGTATGATCCTGTATTCACTGCAAACGTAACTTGTAATAATTTGCGCCCTGAGGTTGACAACTATGGGGAAGTCTTCTCGGGATACCATTTGTGGAATTTTAGTAATCTTGAACTTGACATTCAAGTGGTTGCAGGTAGTGATAAATCAAGCAGAGGAATGCCTACCCTTACTGGTTTTGGGATTTCAAGAATTAAAAGTTTGACCCAATGAAATCCTCCTTGTAGCCTCAATAAAACACAACTTCTGCACTTGACTAATTGACATTTCTTAAGAAATTCTCATTCTAGAAAATTCTGCTGGAATGACAGTGAAGCAAAAAACAACTTTCCCAGATTTTATTGCACATTCATTTCGTGAGACAAAAGTCTTGCCCCAAATCAGACTTATTGCTAACATCAGCAATGACGATGAATCAAGTTACTACTGTAGGCAAAGGGGAGTTGGGGGCTTTACTGCTTTGCAAAAATGTTATGCATGAATATTCAAATGGACAACTAACAAAAAATAATTATACCTTTGTCCGTGCGAAGACGCTTAAATGAATCAGTTTTTGATAATACTTGGTCACAGATTACTTTAGATCCAAGTTTGACAGTCAAATCTATTGACCGGTAGCCTTGAGGGAGTTTGCGATCATACAACAGAGTTAACAGCTGGGCTAGTGTCACCTCTGCTGGCAGTGGTTGACCTACAAAACAACATCAAGGGGCTATTTTAAGAAATCTAATCAATTATTAAATTATGATTCAAACATTTAAAAGGTCATAATGTATTTTCATTGTCAACACATTATCATTGATACACCAGAACATTACACATAACATGTTTATTAGCACATGCCAAATTAACATACAATAAGCTACAAATCTGTCAGCAGAGAGTACAGATAACTTCATAATGACCTGAACAGGCAAACAGAATCTCAGTTTAATGTCTTGTCTTATCTGAAAGATGGAATTTTCAAAAATATAGCTCTCAATGACACTCTGCAGCTCAAATTACGTGCTCAAGTTCTGGTGAGTGGCTCAAGCTCAATGCCAAGTCAATTTGAAAAGGTGTGTGGAGGGATCAGTTATATTGCTTAAAAACTCAGTGACAAACTAAAACAAGTCTCAAATTTTACCATGCTAATTTGAAACTGCGAATTCAGATTTTCAAATTATTTAGGTAATAAAAAGCTGTCCTGGAACTCAAACTATGAAAAAAGCTTAACTGGTGCACTGATGACCTTTAGGGTAGGGAATCTGCTGTGCTCACATGATCCGGCCTCCTTGTGGCATCAGTTCCACACCAATAACTCTCAATCAACTTCTGATGTGCACAGTTCAGTTCCAAAAATTAACAAAAATCAGACCAGATTACAACTTGGTTGCAATGTAAGCAAGGAAGCAGGAATTAGTGGAGGCAGATGACAATCTTGTAAAGTCTGCCTAACATCTCATGTCCAATGTGCAGGAACGGTCCTACATGCAAGTCAAGAACAGCCTGATGTGGGCATGATGCTGTGAATATGCCTAACAGCCAATGACCTAGATACGACGATCTCCATCCCTCACTTAGGTTAGGCAAATTTTACAGTCCATCAATTTCTGCTTTCAAGCTAATGTTGCAACCAGGTAGTCTTCTGGTTTGCTACTTGTAATTCTTTGGAACTGGCATAGGAAGGAGAAAATGTTTCCCCCACACACCCCGCCATAGATGAAAAATGGGCAAAATTATCCTCATCACTTGTAATCAGCATGTGATAAAAGCTTTTGAGAACATAAATTGTAATTCACATACATTACTGCTGACTATTAATTCTTTCAAAACATTTACTCACCTGGTAAAAGTTTGTGGTACAGATGGAACACAGGGACACTAATTGTTTTGTTAGCAGATTCTGTAGATGCAGAAGTAGTTGCCAATTTATCAGTCATCACTCTTCCTCTCCTCGATGGTGGCCTTGGGGGTGTCGATGAAACAGCTCTCTTTGATTGGGACTTCAAACCTGATAAAGCATGATAACGTAAGCCCAGTGAGAAACACTCAAAAGAAATGTCAGGAATAGTAAGAAAATGGTATTCATAAAATTTGCTTCAAAAGTGAAAACTTTTTAAGTTAATGAGATGGCGAGCATAGAAAAAAACGTAGTCAGAAAAGTATAACACTTGCTATATCTCTCATGGAGGGTTTTCAAAAAATCAGTGCAATGCCCAAATTAAGATCTGATCTGTTCAGATAATGCCTCTAGCAGAGCCACTCAAGGATACTTCGTTCTCAACAGCATCGCAGAACAACTACTGGAGTGGACACGCACATTATGATATCTATAGAGGTAAGAAATTGATGCTGCTATGCCTCCCAATTTAAAATGAAAGTATGCTCTTGGTGGGGTGGGGGCAGGGGGAGAAGTACACTTGGACTTTCATTTTCAAAGTTCCGAAAAAAAATTTATCACGGTATTCATGTAAGTATCGAGAAGTCAACTTTTAGCCAGCCTCCAAATGTGCAATGTGTTATTACTGGAGTACCTTCCAGTGAGCAGGAAGCTCGAAGTTTAATTCAGGATCTCTTTTAAAATATTACTAACACACTATGCTGTATCCGAGAAAAATCCCTGGTGAATTCAACTATGTAAATGAAAAGGAAAAAATGCCGGAGAAACTCAGTGGGTCTTACAGTGTCTGAGAGTTCTGAAGAGTCACATCAGACTTGAAACATCAACTGTTTCTCTCTCCACAGATGCTACCAGACTTGCTGAGTTCCTCCAGCATTTTTCTTTCAAATTCCCAGCAACAATATTTGCTTTTACTTACATAAAAAGTATTGGTTTTACTTATTGTGGACATCATGAAATCATTGCAGGTGAAATATATGCTGGAAGTCTCCACCTAGATCTTAGTGGGCATGATGCAGAATAAAACTATCCATACAGCTGAAATTAATACTTTCAATCAGAGGGCACCAATATGGTTGTTATACAAAAGGATTTCTAAAAAACAACCAAGGAAATACACAAGGTTGCACTGATGCAGAAATGGTTAGAGATTAATGAAAAGACAGTAAATTTCTCTAGGAGAAGATAGGAAATATTGCTCCAAGCCTAAATATGATGCACTTGACACTGCAAGTCTGAAACTGTTAAGTGCTCCATCTCCCAGCATCCACATTCCTCAGCTAAGTAAGGACAATTTCATTTAAAAATAAACAGGTGGGAGTAGAGTATGAGACCTATATAGCAGTGATGTAATCCACACCTCACCAGTTCTCAAACAACGTGGTCAGAGATGTCCATGTTGAAAGCATTGGAACTGTGAAAAGGATAGGGATAATCTTCAAGACAGACAGACAGTCTGGTCAAATGAGACAAGTTAAAGATTAATTTTAATACAGAGAAATGTAAATGTACTGGTGTAAATGTCAAGATCAAGGGTAAACTTTTAAGTGGGGTGCAGGAAAAAAGGTGCCCGAGGGCATGTGTGTATAAATCACTAAAGGTGACGTGCAGGTTGGGAAAGTGGTTATAAGGGATCCTGCCCAGCATGAGTAAGTACAGAGTTCAAACACAAGGAAGCCCTTGTAAGCCTGTATAAGACACTGGTTGGGCCACAAGTGGTCCAGTGTGTCCAGTTTTTGCCACTGCACTTTAGGGAGGATGTGAAGGTTTTGAAGAGAGAGTGCACAAAAGAACTTATAACAATGAGTTCTGGAATGAGGAACTTCAGTTATGTGGACAGATTGGAGAAGTTAAGGATTTTTCTTTGGAGATGAAATTAAACAATTTTATAGAGGTGTCCAAAACATGGGGTTTGGACAGAGTAGATAGGGAGAAATTGTTACCAATGGCAGAAGGATGAACCACCAGAGGGCATTCAACATTATGGTAACTAGCAAAAGAAGCAACAGCAACATTAGAAAATCCTAAAAAAGCAAGTGGTTAGAATCTGTAGTGCATGCATGACAGAATGTAGTCAAAGCAATTGTAATCCTCACTTTAAAAAATAAGACTGGGTAATTATTTTGTGAGAAAATAATTTGCTGAGCCATGGGGAAAGAGAAAGCAATAGGGGAGTTGCTCCTTCAGAGAGCCAGTGCAGACATGATGGGCTAAGTAGTCTCCTTTTGCACAATAAGCATTCTTGCTGTCTAAGTGCAACTGGAACGCAAATATCCTTAGTATTGCTAGGCATATAATAACCAATTCAGAGAAAATTAACTGTAGGATAACTCCATTAATCACTTTGGCAACTTTACTCTTGAAAATCTCCCACCATGACAACACAAAGATCTTCGAGCCTGAGTATATTCCAGCAGCACTAAAACTATAAATCAGTCCACATTAACACATATGGAAACAGCGTCGTCCACTACATTTAAAATCAATTGCACTATTGTATCTCTGACATATTCTTTTTGGACAGTTTTTAAATAAACTGTCAGAACAGATATGTTAGAGAAATAATCTGTATTTATTCTGGCACAAACAATTATTTCATAGCGCATTAGCAATTAACGTGAACATTCTGTATTCCAAAGTCAACCAAAAAGGAACTAAATCTTTTTCAGTATGATTAAGTGGCGAGGTTGCTATGAGTTGAAGGGGGTTTGGATTACAAAACAGTGAAGCAGCGTACACAAAAGGGTTGTATCATGAACCTTAATTACCAGAGGCAACAACAACACTGTAGTTGTCTTGAAAGCCATTATCACTCTTCAACTTGTCTTTTTCCTCCTGGTTCCTTTTCTCCTTTTCTTCTTTTTGCTCACTGATTAACTTAGCTGTGATACTTGGTGTATCTAATGTGCAAAAGTACATAGAGTGGAAGTAAATACATATTAAATGGTTAATGTGCTAAACATAAGTTTAAAATATTCTGCCATTTTCAGTTTCTCATAAGCGTGGTTCCCCCTAATAGCCAAACAGACTTGAGTGATTGAACAATGCCTAATATTTGTACACAAGCACCAACAGTTTACTACCATCTTAATTTATAACAGCCTTTTTTCTGGTTGAGTCACAACACCCGTGCATCACACACTAACTGTTCGTGTATTAGTTTATTCCTCAGCAGAGCTACTAGCATGTATTGAAGGAAACGACAAAGAACTATTTATTAAAGATCTTCGAGAAAAGGTAATTTATCAGAGAAATATTAACAATAAAAAATATTTACTGAGTCTGTCAGTTACAGCACCCATTACTTAAACTTATATTATTGAATTCATATCTCCTGAAATCATTTTCCATTAAATGCCAATTAGAGATCAATTCTTTTATCACTCTGTAGTACAATTTTAACTGTTACTTTCTCCATCGATGCTGCCAGACTTGGTGAGTTACTCCAGTCTTCAGTATTTTCTTTTTGGTACTTCAGGGTTCAACTGATAACTAAATATTAGATATTTTCAAATAATGTGGTGGTATTTATCACCAGGGCACAGCAGCTCAATAGTTAGCAGTGCTGCCTCACAGCACCAGGGACGCAGGTGCAATTCCAGCCTTGGGGGATTGTCTGTGTGGAGTTTGCATGCTCTTCCTGTATCTGCGTGAGTTTCCACTGGGTGCACAAGTTTCCTCCCACAGTCCAAAGATGTGCAGGTTAGGTGAACTGGCCATGCTAAATTGCCCTATAGTGTTCAGGGATGTGCAGGCAAGGTGGATTTGTCAGGATAAACGCAGGGTTATGGTGATCGAGAGGAGTGATGGCTGGGTCTGGGTAGCTGGGTGCTCTTCGGAGGGCAGAGCAGACTTGATGGATCGAATGGCCTCTTTCCACACTGTAGAGATTCTATGATTGTTATGGATTTAGATGTAGGTGATACAATTAATAATTCTACAGATACAAAAATTGGTTGATAATGAGCAAGAAAGCCATAGATTATTAGAAGGTATCAAAAACAGGTCAGATGGCAGACAAATGATAAATAGGAGTTCAGTCCAGAGAACTGAGATGTAATACATCAGAGGAAGCCTACCAAGTTAAAAGGTATATAATAAATGGGTAGATTCTGAGGAGTCTGGAGGAACTTAGGAGTGCATGTCCTGGATCCTTGAAGGTAACTGCAGAGGTAGATCAGGTGGTCAGGACTACATATGAGATGCTGGCTTTCATTAGAATGTAACAGCTGAGATGGGGAGGTTTTGCTTGGAACAGGATAAAATACCAGTTAGATACAGATGGAGTATTGCGTGCACTTCTGGTACGTGAACAATGGGAAAGATTTTACAGCAATAGAAAGACTTCCTTCTGTGCTATAGATGTCAATTAATCTATAGGGTTCAGGAACTTTTATTTTTCCAAGAAAAGCATTTAAAACCAATTTGAAAGAGAGTACTAAAATAAAAATTAATGCAATTTCACTTAATTTAGGCACTTTTGCCTACGACACCATTTAAAATCAAATGAATTTCATGTCTACTCAAATATTTAGTCTTTTATGTCAGCAAAGAACCACAAGAACATGTGCAGGTTACAGAAATAATCCTAAATTTTGTAAACTTTGTATAAAGAATAATCAAGGGTTGGTCCTTTGTGAAGAAATCATTCCATTTTAACTTTATTCCTCTATTTCATTCCACAAAAATGTTTGCAATAATCCTGGAACTTTCAACCTACTTTAGGACTGGAAATGCCACAGATAATTAAGCACAAATTTAAATCATGGTGTGTCAAAGTTGTTGTAACATCCGTGTACATAAAATTAATTAAAATTCTGAGGGAAAGGGTTTCCAAGAGATTTTGTGTTTCAAAAGCGCAGGTTCAATCCTTCAGGCACTGTCTAAGGTGGAGTCACAAGTTTTTGGTTGAAACAGATCAGACCTATGCAGATAAAATGAAATTGAAGCTCTTACTAAATTAGGTTACAGACATACAAGGCTTAAAAATCCTACCTGATACACGGTCCAAAACTTCAGCCAAAGTGGTTGATATTGGCAAATGAAGTGTGCGATATTTATGTCCGGCTCCATACATGGGATGTTGAATGACATGGCTAGTAGCATTAATTCTGCCTTTATAAAGCTGAAGGAGAAAAGAATGAATGGATAAATAACAATGATTCAACCCCCAAAACAGAAATGAATAAGGACACAGTGGCGCAGGACAGAAAGACTGTGCTGTGAAGAGAAATACAAAGTTTTAATGTGGAAACTAATTATGTCAGCGCTTATCTTTTGCACAAGCAAATTTAAATTCTGTTGTTATTTTCAATCATTTTCTTGATCCATCCAGTCAGAGTTATTATTGCACAGGAAACTATTTAGTCCATCCAGTTTATGCCAGCTCCCCAGGGTGCAATCCAGTCAGTCTCAGTCCTCCACTCAGCCACTGTGGCAGTATAAGTTCATTTCAAGAGCCCACATAATTACTATTTAAAACCATTGTTTCCATTTCACCATCAAGTTCCAATTCATTACTAATCATGTGTAAAAACGTTCTTCCTCATGGTCCCCTACATCTCTTACTCAAAATCTCATATCTGCATTCCCTTAGTTCTTGACACTTAAGTGATGGGAAGAGATTTTCCCTGTCTACTTTATTTAAGCACTTCAATCTTGTACACCTCCAACAACTCTATTTCTCAACTGCTTTTACTCCCATGGCAATAACTCAGACTTTCTAAACTAACCTTGTAGCTAGAAAATCCTAGCCCTGGAATCATTCTGGTAAATGTTCTCTCAAGGATCTTCACATCTTCCCTAATGTGTGGTGACCAAAACTGGACGCAAAGCTCTAGTTGGAGCCTAACCAATGCTTTACATTGGTTCAGCATGACTTCTCTGGATTGAATTCCCTTTACTCACTTACGAACATGATGCATTTAAATTTTGTTAACGAAATAAAATCTCAAAGATGATGTGGAACTTACTTAAATATTGATATGCATAGTATTTACAAAGTGAAATAAATCAAGTGTGTGCAGATTCATGTCTGAAAGATAATTTATGAACCTGGAATTTTAATTAATTACGTTTAGCATGGTGTGTTTTCTTTCTAAAAATATTTAGTTATCCATCCAATCTGATGAAGAATATTAACAGCTATATAATCACTGAATCCCTTACCCTTCAGTTAGGACCATCTCAACAGGCCATGTTATGTTTAATGATCTATGCATAAATAAACCCTCCCAATAACAGGCCGTTTCACCAGTTGGCTCACGTTGTGTGTCCACATTCTTCCCACTTCACATTTTATGCATTAAATTTCATCTGTTATGCACAATCCACCAACCTGTGCCCTCTTGAAGTCTGCTACAGTTGCACACAGTTCAACCATTCTTACATATTTGTGTAATCTGTAAAAATTTGAAAAATTACAATCCAAGAGGAATGTAATTATGGTCAGTGCATCCGTAATTCTTGTCCTTACGTTTCTCAATGTCCTTGGAGGCATTCCATCTGGTCCTGATTTCTGGTCAACCTTAAGTATAGCCAGCCTTTCTAATTTCTCCTCTTTCTCAACCCAGTAACTCCATTACCTCAGATCATCCATGATCAGAGAAGTTCAAGCCCAGTGGCCTATTCCCCTTGGTTCTTATGAAGTCATTCCTTCAGCATGATTTTGGCAACATCTCCTTCCTCAGAGTCCCATCCTTTACCTTAAATACAGTTGCCTCAATCATTGAGGTCTAGACCTGGAAGTGAGCTCCACATCCTCTGAACAGCAATGCAAACAAGTTTCCCCTGTCTCCATTCTAATTCTGATGTGAAATTTCACATCAATGCCCCCCTCATTCTATACCCTACTGGAGACAGTTGGCTTCCATCTACTCTAGCTCATTATTTCACTGTAAAACATTTAGATTACATCACTCTGCAACACAAGCTGCAATGTCATGAACTTATTTTATATATTTGAATGCAAGGTCCTAAAAAGAAAGGGTTTTACAGCTTATAACTTAAAACTACAATTTGCTTACAGATGCAAAGGTGCTTTTCCAACAAATGTGTCTGTTTTGACCCAAAGCTGCAGAATCAAGAGAAATAGGAGTAAACTGCACGGCACCTTGTCCCTGCTCTGCTATTCTATACAATCATGATCTGAGTCTTCGCATAAGTAAAAGTTACACATGGATGCTAATTATTTAGGGTTTGGATATAAAACCTTGACACATTTGTTTTTAAAAATCACTGTTCAATGATTTCATACAAATCAGTTCAACAGATATAGTTAATAAGTGCCATCTAGTGGATGCATCCCTACTTGGTAAATCAGGAAATAGATTGTTATGTTCACCCAAAATGTGGATTGCTTGTTTAATCTGACTGAAGACACCAAATTCTATTTCTATTACAATCGAGAATTTTTATTTACATTTTAAGAATCATGCTATGCAATCACATTCAATTTTTCATTAGAATCAGTAAGCCACTGAGATAGTCTATAATATCTAAAAAAAAAACCTAGGAGGACAAGAGCAGCAAATGACACTATCACCTGCAAGTTTTCCTCCAAGCCACACATATCCGGACTTGGAACTGATATAGATCCTTCCACCCCAGTAACTGCAGTTGGTTCAAGAAAATCAGCTCACCATCATCTACTCCTGGGCACTTGGGGGATAGGCAATAAAAACTGGTCTAGCCAGTCATGTTCATTGTCCATGAACAAAGAAAAGACTTTCTGATAATTACAAACACTCGTTTATGGCAAGTAAATTTTCATTCACATCACTTGGATTCCAGGATGCTTTGTTGAACTCTATGAAGTCCACAAGCATAGCAATTTCTAGTTAATTAGGTACATTCTGCTCATATTTCTCTCAAGTACACATTACCCAAAGATTTCTTAATAGTTGTACTTCTAAAATAAAACATGCAATTTAAGAAGAAACTATAGAGATCATACAGCAAATATAAAACCTATACCAAATTTAAATGGAGTAGTCCATTTAAAAACTGTATTTGACAATATTAGAATGTAAATTATAAGACAATTCAAACAAATCTGCAAAGAATTCAAAGAAAAATTTTTTTTAAATCAGAAACAAATCACTTCCATTTGGATATATCTTCAAATCACCCCATGTCCCTTTGTGGAAAAAATAAGGAAGGCTTGTAACTGCGTTTCATTCATTTTCCGAATTCAGCAAAAGAATACCGAAGCACATTAAAAACTCAGGGTTATGACCTATTTTAAACTGTGACTTATATATCATATTGAAGTAGTGACAGCCACACAAAAGATTAAGCTGTACATTTGCATGGAACATCTTTCGCAAGACACTCACGTGTACATGAGGTACTGGGACTTCTAGTTACTGCCATTAATAGTCTCCGGCCTCCTCTTCTCATTCTAAATGATATTTCCATTTCATAATGTGTAAAGTACATATTTGAATACAGGTTAACCCAAAGAAATCATGCAATACTTTTTACCCCTTTGTTCTAAGACTGCACTTAGAAAATCTAACTCTATTCACAATATCAATCAGTACTTACAGGACAAGGAGAATGAAGAAACACAGTCACTTTCTCATCTTCAAGCATTAGCTGCAGGAAAAGCCTCCTAATAAAGCCAGAAATATTTCCAGATGTCGGGACATTTGGACGCTGAGGTGTTGATTGGAATAATTCACAGAGAACCTGAAAATATTTAAATTTTAAAACCTCTTGCTGTTTATTGCTTATTGAGAACTTGACAATGTTTTACACTCTACTTAAACTCAACTCAGCAAAATACTAAAATCCTATTTCAAACTTGTTTTTTAAAGCAAGCTGTACATTTGTTAAAAATAATAAACAAAAATGAAGTTATTAGAAACTCAGTGCTTTTCAATAACTACGCCATGGTTTAAAGTTCTATTCAGGATGGTGAGTAGAGTTCATAAAATTGAGTGAAATTAGATACTTGCAGAGCTTCTTCAATAGCTTTGAAAGCAAGTACAACATATGTAGTTGGCATTTCACTGAGACAGACAAGTCTAAAGACTTATGTTCACCTTAATTTTTCACATGCTTTGTTGAAGATTTCATCCAGAATCTCTTGCTGGAAAATACACGCATGGACAACAAGTAAATTGAGGATGGTGCTTACTTTGAACCATCCCATACTATAAACACTAATATTTTGTATCGGTTTTCACAGTGGAGGACACTAATAACATGCCAGTAATTGATAAAGAGACGAAGGTAGGTGAGGATCTGGAAACAATCATTATTTCGGAAGAGGTAGTGTTGGGCAAGCTAATGGAGCTAAGGATTGACAAGTCTCCTGGCCCTGATGGAATGCATCCCAGGGTACTAAAAGAGATGGCGGGAGAAATAGCAGGTGCACTGGTGGTAATTTTCCAAAATTCGCTGGACTCTGGGGCAGTCCCAGCAAACTGGAAAATAGCAAATGTGACGCCACTGTTTAAAAAGGGAAGGAGACAAAAGATGGGGAATTATAGACCGGTTAGCTTAACCTCTGTAGTGGGGAAGATGCTAGCAAGGCATCTTGATAGAAATTGTCCCATTGGGCAGACGCAGCATGGGTTCATGAAGAGCAGGTCATGTTTGACAAATCTTTTGGAATTCTATGAAGACATTATGAGCAAGGTGGACAATGGGGACCCAGTGGATGTGGTGTACCTAGATTTCCAAAAGACCTTCGACAAGGTGCCACACAAGAGGCTACTGCATAAGATAAGGATGCATGGCGTTAAGGGTAAAGTATTAGCATGGATAGGGGATTGGTTGACTAACAGGAAGCAAAGAGTGGGAATAAATGAGCGCTATTCTAGCTAGCAGTCAGTGACTAGTGGTGTGCCTCAGGGATCGGTGTTGGGACCGCAATTATTTACAATTTATATAGATGATTTGGAGTTGGGGACCACATGTAGGGTGTCAAATTTGCAGATGACACTAAGATGAGTGGCAGAGCACTGTGAAACTTTGCAGAGGAACATAGATACATTGAGTGAGTGGGCAAAGGTCTGGCAGATGGAATACAATGTAAATAAATGTGAAGTCATACATTTTGGTAGGAGTAATAGTAAAAAGGATTATTACTTGAATGGTAAAAAGTTGCAGCGTGCTGCCATGCAGAGGGACCTGGGTGTCCTTGTGCATGAATCACAGAAGGTAGGTCTGCAGGTACAACAAGTAATTAGGAAGGCAAATGGAATTTTGTCCTTCATTGCTAAAGGGATTGAGATTAAAAGCAGAGAGGTTATGTTGCAGCTGTACAAGGTGCTGGTGAGGCCACACCTGGAGTACTGTGTGCAGTTTTGGTCTCCTTACTTGAGAAAGGATGTACTGGCACTGGAAGGGGTGCAAAGGAGGTTCACTAGGTTGATTCCGGAGTTGAGGGGGTTGGCTTATGAGGAGAGACTGAGTAGATTGGGATTATATTCATTGGAATTCAGAAGATTGAGGGGGGGATCTTATAGAAACATATAAAATTATGAAGGGAATAGATAAGATAGAAGTAGAGAGGATGTTTCCACTAGCAGGTGAAGCTAGGACAAGAGGGCATAGCCTCAAGACTAGAAGGAGCAAATTTAGGACTGAATTGAGGAGGAATTTCTTCACCCAGAGGGTTGTTAATCTATGGAATTCCTTGCCTAGTGAAGTAGTGAAGATAAGGTAGATTTTTTTTGAACAATAAAGGAATTAAGGGATACCGTGAGAACGCAGGTAAGTGGATCTGAGTCCAAGAAAAGATCAGCCATGATCTTATTGAATGGCAGAGCAGGCTCGAAGGGCCGGACAGCCTACTCCTGCTCCTAGTTCTTATGTTCTTATGAAAGGTGGAATTATGATTTAGGTTGCAGAGATGCCAGAATTTGTTCCTAGTATGCATCAACATTTCCAAGGCAAGAACGGAGAGGGAAAAATAAAGTTCTTCCTCCTAGGGAAAAAAATGACCAAGTGTACATCTAATTACTTCTGTGAATACCTTTTCAAAGACTTGGGTTAAAACATTCATTTATTTCCAACGCTAATTCAGTCATTTTCAACTGGATAAAGACACTCATCAATCAGAAATGTCAAAGTGAAGCTTACAGAATTGTTCAAAATATTGTTATTACCTGAGCCATTAATTTCTGATTGTTTGGATGACAAGAAATGCACTGCAAGAAGAATGCAACGGTGGAATTTTCAATTGCTGTTCTCTGTTGAGTGGTCAGTCCTACTCCTGCAGGTGAAGAGGCAGAAGGAAGGTATCTTGATCCAATATGCTGGGACCCATTGTGATGTTGGTGTCCAGAGCTGCTGCTACTGGAATGGCACAGCAAGAACAATAGAGCAGTCCACAGGGGGTTTACTTCAGGCCCCCCTAACCAATCCTTCATGGTATGGCTGCTACCTACTTCAGTTAGAAACCGCAGAACAGGAGCCACCAGATCTGCCGTGAGGGGAACCTTGCTGATTACACGCTGCTGGGAATGATGCCACTTGTTTCTGTCTGTGGTGACCTCTGCATAAGGCACTGTACAATCCAAACTGGAAATATGATTGAAGCAAAAATTGATCAGGCTCTTCACAAGCATTGACGGTAGACTTGACTCCAGGAGCTGTTTGATAGCTTCTGGAGATTGGGTTGCTGCAGCAAGAGTAACAAGGTGAGATTCATTTAGCACAATGGGTGCTTGTGCATTTTTGGAATCATCCGTTAAACCAGAATCCATGTCCTCTTTCTTGCTGTCATCTGTCATTGAAAGCCTGTGTTGCATTTGTAGAGAAGGCAGAGTGATGCCCATCCAGCCCATTAACAAAGAAAAGTAGCTGGGATGAATGTGACATATGGAACATAGCAAACTGTCTACAGCTTTCTTCAGAACCATGTTGCAAGGAAGTGACATGGACCAGTTGAACAGCAACCTAAAAAGAAAAGAGACTTATGACCATCAGATAAAACATTTCTCTTAATCTGTGTATTGAATGGATGGCTCCTGATTTTTAATCAGTCACCCTAGTTCTACATTCTCCCATAAGAAAGCATTCTCCCTACAATGGCCTTCAGGATCCTACAAGTTTAATCATTGCAATATAGCTAAATAGAAGAAATATAGCCAAACATTGAACAATATGATAGCGCTCAAGAAACTGGATAATCTCAGCAAAAGGCCATCTAATGTACTACAGCATTGCAAAAATCTCCAAAGGAAGACATCTTAATTTGACAATTTTCCCTCCCATCTTCCCCAATCAATGCAAACCCCCCGTGCCAGTGAAATGCTCCAAAGTCATGACTGGAAATAGATAAATGTGAAATCTGAAAATGCAAGATTGTCCACTTTCATTGGAGGAATGCAAAAGCAGATTATTTAAACCACAACAGACTGTCAAATGTTATGGTATAGATAGATCTGGGTGCCCACATAGTTAGTATGCAGGTACAGTAAGTAATGAGGAAGGCAAATGGAATGTTGTCCTTTATTGCAAGGGGAATGGATCAAAATGTTGGGAAGTTCTGCTGCCAAGTGGACAAGAGATTGGTCAGATTACACCCTCTCCTTACAAAACAGGCCTACATATATTCATTGGAGACAATTCAGAGAAGATTCATTCAATTGATTCCTGGGATGAACAAACTATCTGATGAGGGAAAGTTGAACAAGTTGGGCTTATACTATTTAGAAGGGGAGGTGCTCTTATTCAAACATATACAATTCAGAGGGGGCCTGAAGGGTTGTTTTTGCTTGTGCTGGAACCTAGGACGAGTGAACAGTGTGAAAGACTTGCATTTATATGGCACTTCCCACAACATCTGATATCTCAAAATGCTTAATGGCAAATGAGGTACTTTTTGAATGATGCTAACTGTTGTAATGTTGGAAACAGCAGCCAATTTGCATCCATAAGCAACATGAGCAGATAGCTTGTTTTTTTTTTGAGAGATAGTGATTGAAACCCAAACCTTCTTACTCAGGAGGCAAGGGTTCTACTAACTGAGCCTCAGCTGACACTAAAATTTCAAACTAAGGGGTCTCCCATTTAAGATAATAAACAGAAGGAACTTCTCCCAGAATTTTGGAATTTTCTGTCCAGAGAGCCCCTGGAAGCTGGGTCACTTAATATATTCAAGACCTACAACTCCTCTCTGATAAGGAATTTCCTGACATTGACGTTGTTGCTAAACAGACGTTTGTCAAGGTTACAGGACGATATGGGCATAGCCTGCCCAGCCACAACTTTAACCAGGAAATGTTTTAGAGAAAGCAAAATAGTAACACTTTTGTAGATGACAAAGTTGGTGACATCCCTACATTTTTCTTTAAATTTTGAATTTACAGCCACTGTATCCATCAGATTCTTGCATCTTATGATATATTAACAGCATTTTTGAGGTCTAAAATTCCAGAAGTTCCTTGTTTTCAATTGCTATTGAGTAAACTATAAATTAATATACAGTAACCAAAATGCGAACAGAAATCAGAGGGCTGAAACAAGGCACGATGTTGTTAAACTTGGAAGGGTTCAGAAAAGATCTACAAGAATGTTGCCAGGATTGGAGTATTTGAGCTACAAGGAGAAGTTCAATAGGCCGGGGCTATTTTCCGTGCAGCATCGGAGGCTGAGGGGTGACCTTATAGAGGTTTATAAAATGAGGGGCAAGGATAGGGTAAATAGTCAAGGTCTTTTCCTCAGGATAGGGAAGTCCAAAACTAGACGGCATAGGTTTAAGGTGAGTGGGGTAAGATTTAAAAGGGACCTAAAGGGCAACTTGTTCATGCAGAGGGTGGTGCATGTTTGGAATGAGCTGCCAGAGGAAGTGGTGGAGGCTGGTACAATTACAACATTTAAAAGATATCTGGATGGGTATCTGAATAGGAAGGGTTTACAGGGATCTGGGCCAAGTGCCGGCAAATGGGACTAGATTAATTTAGGATAGCCGGTCAGCATGGATGAGTTGGACCGAAGGGCCTATTTCCATGCGGTACAACACTATAACTTTAATCTTAAAAACAAAATATTTTGTGACCACTTTACTTACTCGAACAGTTCTCTGTTTAATAAACCTGGAAGATCGTACTCGACAGGTAGCTCATAGCTATGCCACAGGACAGCAGCTACGCAATGTAAGTGAGAAGGTGATGGCATAAGGAGGCCATACTCGCGAGTTACATTCTCTGAATTCACAGTGGCTATGTGGCCATTTCTCTTCAGAGCAGCCACTCTTGCAGAGTCATAAACCCACTTCAGCAAGGCTTGAATCCTGAAATAGAAAGACCTGTGTGTTAGTTCAGTGAACAAAAAAGTTTGAATATTCTCGTTATTTAACAGTTGGGAACTATAGTACTCAACAACAGTTCCCACCATCAAAACGCTACCCACACATTAAACCATCAAACGCTCTTCATTGTCCAGTTGGTAAATGCAGTATTAATTGCTGAATTCCAGTGAAGTTCAAACCTGATATCAACCAGTACAATTGGGATACCATTGGTAACAAAGTCATAGAGCATGGAAAGGGAAGGAAAGGACACAAGTAGGGTCCCCAGTCGTTGCGATTCACTGAACATTGTGAACACATTTCCTGGTTAAATTAGCTAATCTAAGCCCCACAAACAACTATAATCAAGGACTGAGTGAGAATCAATATACAAACATTAACAACTTCATTTACAGAAAAAGGTGGAGACCAGACAATATTGGTCCCCATTTTTTTTCCAGATCAAAGTAGGAATATTGCTCATGCCAGGTAAATAATTTGAAGCCAACTTTTTGGTGCCTTTCTGCTGTACTGCCTGTAGAATTAGACATAGTACATTTGTTCCGGCTTATTATACATCATTAGAACCCCTGATTTGCAGCATGAAAAGGCACACTGCCTAGAAGAGGTGGGTGTTCTAGCTGTCAAATGAAAGGCTCCTTTGTAAGTGATAGCGGTTGGAGTTCTGGCGTAAACAGAGTGCAAAGACATGCAGCCCATGTTAGCATCCATCCTGCTGCGTTTTCCAATATTTTTGAAACACTTTTTTAAATCTTCATAGATGGACAATTTTACCTAAAATAACCTTGCTGATTCAATAGTGAGCACAGAGACTGATGGGATGTCATAAAGATAGTAAAGTATATTTTCATGATTTAAACTGACAGAAAATACAGGTTGGTCATTATGTTATTTTACAAACAGGCACTATAAAATCTCACCTGGAAAAGCTGCTGTGGAGTGTTTACATAGCAGTAAAGTGGTAGTAAAAAGACACATCCACTGCATGGCCATTTTGGCGAGATAAATTATCCTTAACACATTTTGCCTGTTGTAAAAAGGCATGGCTTAGACCATTATATATTAAAAAAATTCCCAAAGAATAATTTCTCTGCAGAAAATCAAAAGCAAGTCTTACCTGTACAACACTGATACATTACCTGTCTTTCGTACCAGGATCCTGAGTTGTTCCAAGTTGATAAAGGATATCAATTGTTGAATCTGAAGATAGACCATTCAGTCTTCCGAAAAGCAAAGGGCTATTTAAATCTAGACAATCAAAGATATCACAATAATCAGAGTCACCTTTGGGAGGGTTTGCAGGTTAGTCAGGTGCAAGCAGCTATTGGGAGGGAAGAAAGGAGGGAAAAAAAGAGCATAACCACTGTCTATTTTATAGTTTCGTTGGCAATGGTGACCATTTTAAATTTCTCAAACTAAATTAAAGACAAGAACAGCCATTTTACCTACAATGTGTAGCATTACCAACAGGCACTAAAACCATCACTATGTTGGTTCTTAGAGCAGTTAAGCTAAGGGGGTAGACAATCACCAGCTCACTTTCAGCTGGCAAAGTGCCATCTGCTCATCTGTTAACGGTTATCATCTTCTCTCATTTAATGTATTATAACTGGATAACTGAAGGAGATCAAAACCTGCTTCCCGCTACATTTTAAGCAGCTAGGATTAAAATGTTTCTTACCTGCTGGGTCAGTGCCTGAAGCAGCACAATTCCTTAAGAGAATATCAATCAGTTTTAGGCCAATCCTCGTTGACTGCAATCCAATCTTGACCAACACAGCTTCGATATTTGGTGAATGCATACCACAATATGGTGACATTAGCAGTGCAGCGCAGGTCTGCAACAGGTTAGCAGTAGGAGCTGCTGCACTGGCCATCATTGCTTCAAGTTCACTGATATGGGTCAAACAATGGTGAAGAAGTCGCATCCAACCAATACTGAAAGTAGAAATAAATCATGGAATCATACAGAACAGGAGGACTTTTAGGCCATTGTGACAAAGTCATGGTAATTTGTAAATTCACTCTTAACATTCCTAAGGAAGGTCTGGACAAAAATAAAACTTCTTTCCTATCTGTGTCAATTTTCTGTGCGATGTTCCAGCAGCACTCTTCGGATGGGTCTCATTCCCACATGAGCAGCAACAATTCAAACAGGAGGGCAAATATTGAGTCCATGGTATTAACTCATCCATGGATGAGCATCACAGTTGAAACTGATGCTGTCCTTAGCTGATGTCCATATGTATGCACAGGTTTACAAGCAATTAAATAGAGACAAAGTAGAAACTCTAGTCTGCTTCTCTGGTCTAAAGCTAAATGCAGCATCTCCACTGCTAACCAACCAAGATCTACAACATAAGCAGAGAACAAGCAAGAAGGAAAAGACTTTGAACTTTTCCAGTTTGCACGTTTTAGCTACTGAATTTCATATTCAGCTATGGCTTCAGAGGCTCCATGTAAAACTGTGAATCCTAGGAAAATCAATACTTTTTAATGCAGAGTTAGATTTGAAGCAAGTTTTTGATACATCTATGATGGAAATATTATGCTTGAAACACGTAAACTAGATAGGCAATGGCACTCAAGACATCAGATATTCTCTAGAATAACTGCAGATTTCTGAACAGCTTGATTTGGAGACAGGCATTACAAATATGAGACCTTACAGTTATGTTTAAACTGTCTCTTGTAAGATAAAATGGAATGTCCTGAAATGAGGTGAAATTTTAGCAAAATCTGGAGAAAAGTCCCAGAGATTTGACGACCATGGAGAAAGAGGCCCAGGGCATGAAATAAAGTGCCAGTTTCCACACCTTCACAAGCTTCTCCGATGTAGATGCAGCAGTGACAAGCAAAAGGGGCAAAAGCAAATATTGCTGCATTTGCCCAAACAGAATGTTGGTTCCTTGTTCTGAGGTGGTACTTGTGGAGATTTAAGAACAAGGATCTGCTGAGAGTGCCATACTGCTAGAAAGTCAGGAGGAATTTGGACTTCAAGTTGCAAGGCTACATAGCTGAGATTGTGCTACAATATAGAAGATCATGCTTGCTGACACCCAGGAGCATGCACAGTAGCAGCAAAATATTTCAAAAGCTTTTATCAAATAAAGTGATGAAAAAAAATCACAAAAAATGAAAATAACAAATCAAGGGAAAGCTGATATCAATGAGTAGAAAAAAAAGTTAAACAAAGTAGATTTCCAGATTTTTTGTTTAAAAAATCAGCTTTACATTGTGCATGCATATACATGTGCAAGATCTGAAAAATATCAATGGTGAGCATATACAGTTGGTATTCTTCAAAAGGATTGTTGGTGTCAGCAGATATGTGAAATATATAAATGGATCATGAAGTATTTTTGCTTATGTTGATCAGTTAATGGGAATGAGCTTTCCTGTAGTTTAGTGTACCAGTTGTCTATTAGATAATAGTCTACACTGTTTTTCTTGAGCTTGTAACAGCAAAAGTCAATGTGAAATCTTGTCAAGCAATGCTCTCTGTTTCTTTTGAGGGGTATGGACAGGGTGAATTGATGGCAACTGTTCGCCTTAGTCAAGGGATCAAGGGAGCATAATTTTAAAGTGAAAGGCAGAAGGTTTAAGAGAGGATTTGAGGAAAATCTTTTTCATCCAGGAGGGTGGTGGGGGTCTGGAATGCACTACCTGGGAGGGTAATTGAGGCAGGAAACCTCATAATCTTTACAAAGTACTTCAATAGTATGTGCCATAACATTCAAGACTATGGACCTAGTGCAGGAAACTGTAACTAGTGTAATTAGTTTAGACTCAATGGGGCAAACGGCCTCTTCCATACTGTATGATTTCATGATTGTTCCCTTAGACCCTAACTAACCAGCTTCACCTTAACCGCTGTTCTCGAACTTGATTGAACTCTTAGAAGCCTGCTCTCCATGTAAACTCTCAAATCCACAGACACCAGCATAAATTTGCCATCTCACATTACACTCTTTACTCCCATCGTCTGGATTACAGGCCACTTCATCAGGCCACCCATACCCCAAAACCTCCCTCTAACTTTACATTCTTTTAAATCCTGTAAAGGATGCTCTCCAAATCAGTCATAAAGTCACAGAGCTGTATAGCATGGAAACAGAGCCTTCGGTCCAACTCGTCCATGCCAACCAGATATCCTAAATTAATCTAGTCCCATTTGTCAGCATTTGGCCCAAATCCCCCTAAACCCTTCTATTCATATACCCATCCAGATCTCTTAAATGTTGAAATCGTACCAGCCTCCACCACTTCCTCAGGCAGCTCATTCATACACGCACCATCCTCAATGTGAAAAAGTTGCCCCTTAGGTCCCTTCTAAATCTTTCCTCCCTCACCTTAAACCTATGTCCTGTAGTTTTGGACTCCCACACCCTGGGGAAAAGATCTCGTCTATTCACCCTATCCATGCCCCTCGTGAATTTACAAACCTCTATCACCCCTCCGCCTTTGACGCTCCAGGGAAAATAGCCCCAGCCTATTCAGCCTCTCCCTATAGCTCAAAACATCCAACTCTGGCAACATCCTTGAAAATCTTTTCTGAACCCTTTCAAGTTTCACAACATCCTTCCTATAGCAGAATTGCATGCAGTATTCCAAAAGTGGCCTTGTCTTGTACAGTTGCAACATGACCTCCCAACTCCTATACTCAATGCACTGACAATAAAGTCAAGCATATCAAATGTCTTCTCCACTATCCGATCTACCTGTGACTCCACTTTCAAGGAACTATGAACCTGCACTCCAAGGTGTCTTTGTTCAGTAACATTCCCCAGGACCTTATAATTAAGTGTGCAAGTCCGGCCCTAATTTGCCTTTCCAAAATGCAGCACCTCATATTTATCTAAATTAAACTCCATCTGCCACTCTTCGGTTCACTGGCCCATCTGATCAAGATCCCATTGTAGGTCATACAATCATAGCATCCGTACAGTGTGGAAACAGGCCATTCGGCCCAACAAGTCCATACCAACCCTCGGAGCATCCCACCAAGACCCATCCCCCTAAAACCCACGTAATCTACACATCACTGAACACTACGGGCAATTTAGCATATCCAATGCACCTACCCTGTGCATCTTTGGACTGTGGGAGGAAACCGGAGCACCCAGAGGAAACCCACGCAGACACGGGGAGAATGTGCAAACTCTACACAGACAGTCGCCCGAAGGTGGAATCGAACCCAGGTCCCTGGTGCTGTGAGGCAGCAGAACTAACCACTGAGCCACTGTGCCACCAAGGTCTGAGGTAACCTTCTTCGCTGTCCACTACACCTCCAATTTTGGTGTCATCTGTAACCTTACCAACCATACCTCCTATGTTCAGATCCAAATCATTTATATAAATGATGAAAAGCAGTAGACCCAGCACCAATCTTTGTGGCACACCACTGGTCACAGGCCTCCAGCCTGATAAGCAACCCTCCATCACCACCACCCTCTATTTTCTACCTTCGAGCCAGTTCTGTATCCCAATGGCTAGTTCTCCCTCTTTTCCATGTGATCTAACTTTACTGACCAGTCTACCATGAGGACCCTTGTTGAAAGCCTTACTGAAGTCCACAGAGATCATGTCCACCGTTCTACTGAATATAACTCATTCAGGATATTTCGTGAACTTTCTTCAAACATTTACTATTAGCATCACAGTTCTAGCATTTTACCTGGTTTTAGAAACTTGATCCTCCGAGGGCAGGAAAGGGTTATTCACAGTTGCAGATGAAGTGCTGCCAAAGGCTGTAAGACCCAGTAGTTTGATCTGCGATAGGCCCAAAGTGCTGGCATCCCGTGGGCGGTGTAGCCGGAGACAGACAGCTGATGCTACCTCAGCTTTGACCAGCTGTATTTTAATATAAGTTAGCCCACTGGTAATTACTGGGGTAGAAAGGGGCAACATGTTCACTCCATCTGCACTGATCTCAACCGATACTGAAGAAGGACAGGCTGCAAGAATGAAAGTGGGATAAATATGTAATGTTTAGTCTGACAGCTGCATAACTAAAAGGTTAATTTTAATTATGGAATGTGAACTCAGCTGTAGTGTTTAGGTGTCATAAAGTCCTTCATCACCAAATATTCTCTGGTAAAAATTGATTAATCGAGCCAAGTTGTTGCAATTCTTAGCTCAATAATGAATCACATACCTTTCTTCTTTATCAGTTCATGGGATAGGAACACCAGTAGCAAGGCACTATTAGGAAGGCGCTTTTAGGTTCTGGCCCAGAGACACCGAAGGAACGGTGGCACAGGATTGTGGGCAACTTCAAAAGGTTAACCGTAGGTGGTATTGCTTCAATATGCTCTGCTCTCGACTTTCTAGGTGGTAGAGATCTGCAGATTTTGAAAGCACTGCCAAATTGTTGCAGTGCACTGGTGGAAGTAGTCAGTGTATAATATGGCGAATACAGTTACAGTTGAGTGGGCTGTTTGTCATGGATGAATCTGAGCTTCTTCATTTTTGTTGGAACTGCACTCATCCAGACAAATGGAGAGTATTCTATCACACACCTTCAATGTACCTTGTAAACAGCCTTCAAGGTGGGGTGTTACTCAATGCAGAACTCTCACACCCATGACCTGCTCTTGCATCTATAGTATTTATTTGACTGGTACACTTCAGTTTCTGATCAATTCTAATCCTCAGGACATTGTTGTTAAGAGATTCAGTGATGATAATGTCATTGAAAGACAAGGGGAGATACTTGATTGGTGGAAATGGTCATTGCCTGGCATTTAAATGGCAAGCAACATTTATGTCACACTTCCGCCCAAATGTGATTACCACCCAAGTTCTGTAATATACAGACACAGACTGCTCAGTACTTGAGGCCTTGTGAATGCTCCTGAGCACTGTGCAACCTTCAGCAAATATTTGCTTTTCTGAACTTAAGACAGTAGTAAGGTCACTGACAGTAGTAAGGTCACTGATGAAGCAGCTGACAGGCCTAGGACACTGCCTTCTTTAATGCAAGAAAGTAACTCAGTTTCATTACTTATTTCTACGACCTTTTCAGCAGAGCCCAACTCATGCTACTAAGTTATATCATATGATTCATTACTAAGTTAGGAATTGCAACAACTTTGCCAAACTTTCAGGACTACACTGAGTGTTTCCTGGTTTAGCATCACAACTTCTGTAAATTAAATTTACTTTTCCTTACCAACTCAAGACCACCTTTACTGACCAATATCTAATTAAATGATGGTTGCTGTGGGAACTACACAGTGCAGTGCCCTTCTATGCAATGGATACCCATCATGTCCACATCCACCATGAGTTGCTCTGGCGTGAGAAACCATACCAATCAACTACTTTCAATCTTGGACAACAACCAGTTAACTATGATTTATGCTAATCACCACAAATCCTCAACCTTGAGCATACTCACTAGCAAGTGATGCAAGGTGAGGCTGAATATGGATTTCTTTGAGCAGCACTGCAGCTGGAAGGTGGATAGTGAGGTCACACCATGCTTCTTCTGGTAAGAAGATATACGACCACGCTGCAGATCTAGCTCTACGATGGGGTGGTGTGGCCTGAAGCAGTACCTCAGCTGGCTGAGCTGTTGGGCTACTAGAAGTTATTGTACCTGCAAACAGAAAAAAACAAACTAATTACAAAAAGGGACAGATTTTTGCATGCAAGTAACTGAAAAGTCTCTTCACTTTTGACTGCAGTCAATTGAAACAAATAAAAACATAATTACTTTAAAGACTGACTACAATATTGGATACCTGCATGGTATAGTCCTCCAGTTTGTTAGTGCAATCAGAGTTAAAGTAAAAAATTATACAGTGGATTAAATTGCATTTAAACAGAGAAATGATGAAACACTAACTGGGCACCACATACCCAATGGAGCGAAGTTATGAAGTCCTTCCGCATTGTCAGGCTCTGAAGCTAATACTCTAGCCTTCATGTTTCCATCAATTGTCTTACCGGGTCCACAGTCAAGAAACTTCATTATGGTAGATACCATGCTCCGTGCTGTATTAACAATTGCTCGGGTACTAGTTACCATGTTATTGCAGATAAGCTGGACACCCCCTAACAGATTGAAACAGCAATTCTTCAGATAGTATCCAAAAGCAGTGTCTCACAAAAAGTAAAAATGTATACATAATTCATTACTATGTTATTCCTTTTCTGGATGAATAAACAAGTTAGCACAAAACACTGGAAAAGCTGGTGAAAATTGTTCCCTAATGTGCACCTAAACAGTTGAATTTTCATTAATTATCTCATCTATGGAAAGATGACAACAGCCACTTACATGGTGCCAGATTATGGTGTCATCTTAGATTATAAATTTGTCAAGATACAGACTACAGCTTCAGCTTAGAATGAACTGTGCTACCATGTTACTGCATTCAGTTTTGGGAATTGTATCACAGGAAAAATGCAATGATTCTTGAACGTAATATAGTGGAGATTCACTAGACTGATGGTATTTCCTCTAATGGGAATCTCCAGAACGTGGACACACAACATTAAAATCAAAGCTTGACTATTCAAGAGTAATGTCAGAAAAGTAGCAGAAATGTGAGGCACTCCTAAAGTATCAACGAAAATTTCAACTTTTTCTGTAATGTAGGAATTACAGAACCAAGGAGAGTAGATGAAAGCAACAAATAGACCAACAACAATTTTAATTGAATGACCTACTGCTGTTCAGAGTACCTAAAACCTCCAGTTAAGTCAGGGTGATGTAAACATTGTTATTAACATGGTCTGGAAAAGCATCCATTGTAAAATACAGGGAATCAAAAAGGAGAAAGCCTGGAATCATGCAATCACTTTCTATTGTTTCAATTGCAAATATTGCACTTGTACAATGTACATACCCATGTCATGGAAAGCTTTTAGCGCTTCAGTGGAATCCAAAACTCGCAAAATAAACCACAACAATGGTTCAGATAGCTGACATGTTGAAAGGGAACCCTAAAAAGATTAAAAGATATTATGATTAAAAAATTATTGAAAAGCAAACAAGCAAGAGTCCAAAATAACCCGTTATGGTTTATGTGTGGTGATTCTCTCTGCTGAGAAAGTGAAATCATTCTCCTTCCCTGCACAAGTGTTCGGTAATGTGAGAAAAATGCTTAACAGAAAGCCAAAGGAGATTTGAAGTTCAGCATGAATTTCATGCCACTTAAAAAAGAATGTGCACTCCCTGAGCCTGCAACTAATACTTGGAACAGCTTCATTTCAAAGGGAAAGACCTGAAGAAGTGCTGAATGCCCTGAAAATATGGTTACTTTCAAAAGGGAGCAAACAACATAATCACTTTCAGGAACAAAAATAAAGTTGCTGGAAAAGCTCAGCAGGTCTGGCAGCATCTGAAGGAAAAAACAAGAGTTAACGTTTCGGGTCCGGTGACCCTTCCTCAGATCATAATCATAATCACATTCAGATTTTCATGACAATCACATACTAGTATTCCCTCTCTTGCTGTCTTTTATTGCAGCATGCTTTCAAAGTTATAAAGTGTGTTTTCCCCAGACTGCACCCAGGACGTGCCTTGGCTAATTATAGTAGCCAACTATCCTACTAAAAATCAGCAACCAGCTAACACTATGTTTTGGGCACAAACTGTCAGACTACAAAATGTTGAAACAAGGGTTCGTATCCTTAGTAATCCAGCCCTATTGATAGGAGGTCAGACAAAGACGTGATCCATTGGTGTGTTGGGGGTCAGAGTAAAGACAGAAATCGTGCAAAAATATTAAACATAGGAATGAAGGAGCAAGTTCTAATTCACACTGGCAGCAGGCCTGGGAATTGTAAATGCACAATGTAAATGAGACACCAGAAAATGAGGCAATGTCAGGTCAAGTGCCTATACAGTGAAGTGTGTTTTTTTTTGTAGTAAACTAGGATAAATTACAGCTGATCACTTGTCAAAGAAAAACAGAAGAATTGTGTCAAAGGTCACAGCTCCTATAATAGTTCAAGATAAAATTTTCAAATATTTTAGTAAGTATGATGCAATAGCATATTTGATCAAGACTATAGATATCGTACCTCAAAAATGTAAAATGATTAATTCCATTACCTGTCTTCCCATGTACCCACAGGCCATATATGTAAGAATTGGCTGCAGCATGACCTGCACTGAAGTGGCTTTTTTGCTTAATGTAGTTAGAATGCTGAAGAGACCATCACCAACTGAAATGGCATCTAAACCACTGTGGAAGTTCTCATGTTTTGTAAGATGTAATCCACTTGCACCTGATTAGGAAATAAAGCAACAATCTCTAGTGTTGACATTGGCATTTTTGCAAGAAAAGCATTTGTTCAAACATTAAAGTAAATTTCAAAAGTTATCAACTCAACAATTAAGATTTGTGTACCTCAAAATTATTTTCCACATGACCCATAAGATACAGATGCTTCCTTTATAAATGGATTAAATTGTGTTAATTGATACATTTAGAATATATAAAAAGAAATGTTTACAACACTGCATTCCACAGTAGCTAATAATTGGCTGAATTTAAACTGATTATTTAAGTAGCCTCCGGTTTTATGGGGAAACTATACTGTAAGTATAACATGGAAAGCAGTCGTTCACCAGTCTCTCCACGTTGAGGTACGTTGTCTACGAACAATATTCTTATCCTTGCTGCTCTTCCTGTTTCTACATCATCCCACCTTTGTTCAACCATCTATTTTATCTCTTCTCAAATGCTGGCATGATTTCTGTACTTAGCTACTAATTCATGTTTTTAAGAGCCTAACAAGCCTATATTTTTAAAAAAATTCTGTTCTCTGTTGTAAATCTTACATAGCCAATTTAATAAATATTGTTCTATTATTCCGGATAACTGAAAACAGTCATCTGTTCTTGTCCAGCCTGCAGAAACAGCTCACAAGTTTCAAACACAATCAAATTACCCTATAATCTTCTTTTAGATTTCAGGCCTTAGCTGTATTTTGACTTTAACTTTTGCTCTAAATGGAGTAAATACAACTTTTGAATCATTTCTTCATTCCAAGCATCCTAGTGAATCTGTGTTAGACCTACAGATTTCCCCAAATCCTTCCTGCCATGTTATCTGCACACCATATCATCCCAGGTGGGATTCAAGGCTTTATACACAATTACCATTACATTCAACTTTTGCGGCTCACCACAAAGCAGTATTGGTTTAACATTTTTTAAAATGCTCATCAGTTTTAGGTGTTTCTATTGATATCATGGGCCTAAATCCACTGCCTTTCTACATTGCAACCTCCAAAATTTTTAATTTGATTTTCTAAAAAAAATCAAAACTTAATTCTTCACATTTACTAAAATTCCACCTTTCACCTTAACTGTTCATATTCTATTATTAAATCCATACGATTTACTTATTTTCATCTTCAGAATCTTTAAATCCCCTGTATTAGGTACCTCAACTAAATCTTACAGTAACACTGATTACTTTTAATGAGGTCCATCTTAACAGAGGCTACTCATCAACAAAATACCTACCTATTATCATTGCCATAGCATTGCTATTGCACTGGCCCAGAGCTGAAAGGATCTGGCTCATGATTTGCTGATTTCCCAAAACCAAATCGGCAATGCAAGTTGTTGCTCCTTGTGTGAAAGAGGTGTTTGTGCTCGCATCTTTACTGCCAGAGACCTTTTCCTCATCAGACACGCTGTCTGACGCACTGCTGGCAACTGCCATCCTGGCACTGTACTCCCGGTTACTTGAAAGGGGCAACTGCACCAAAATGTTAACCAACTTAAGCAAATCAAACATGAGCTGATCCCTCGTCGTCTCCCCACATACAGCTTTTGCATCTCCTGGACGAATGATATTTGCAAACAATCCTCCGAAACAGGCACGGGCCCCAACTGAACTGTCCGAGCCGCTTCGAGATATAACCTTGTCTGAGCAGGTGATGTAATGATGTACCAGGAAAGTCACGGATTCGATGACTGCAGATATTGCGCTGACAGAAACAGACTCAAAGTTTTGCTCCAACGTAAACTCCAGGAGTTTTACCTGTGCATCCAGTGGACCTTGTCCAGTTTGGAATGGGCCTCTGAGAAATAATTTTGTTCAAGTTACAAATCATGATTTGACAGGATTAACATAATCATCATCATACAACAGCCATATGCACCTCTAATGATTTAGAAATATTGATTTGTTATCTATGTGGAAACGTCTATAAGAAGAACATGCTTTGTGAACTTTCTAAACCAACAATGACAGTTGCAATATTTACAAACCTGAGATTTTGTTTTTAATTTTGGATCTGAACTGGAAAGTTCTTCCATCTAGTTTGCCTAGCTTGACTAAGTCAAAGCACTCCTTCCTCCAAGTCAACAAAACAGAGTGCAAATCTGCTCTGGAGACTTGAATTGAGCTCTCAATGCTGCTGTAGTGTTAGAAGTGTAATCTTGTGGATCAGGTATGAAACTGGGCATTCTGTTGCATTATTCAAAGAGAAGGACAGATTCAGGTTAATCCACAATTATTATTAATTATTAATACTTCCTTCCCCTCACTCCTCTTTTTCGCCTTCCAACTTGCTGAGATCTCTGCATTCCAGTAATTCAAGGTATTTGAGCATCCCAATTTCAAAATTCCACCGCTACCAACCATGCTTTCAGCTGCCAGAGCCCAAGATCTGAAATTTCTTCCTAAACACCACATCACTTAGCTCTCTTTTCTCCAAGACATCTTTTAAAAGCCATCTCTCTGGTGAAGTTTTTGGTCACTTGTCATAATGTCTCATGTGAAACTGTCTGATAATGTTCCTTTGAAATGCATTTGTTCTTTTACTGTATTCAGATACTAAAACATGTTACTGTATTATCCTAATTATGTTTTTGGGACCTAGTTCAGCACCAATCGGCTACAACACCTGTCACTCCAAATAGTAACTCACTGGTTATGATGCACTTTGGAATGTCTCCAATGATACATTAATTCAAAAATACAGACCATTCTTTTCTAAACTTGGCGGGGGAAATAAACTGCAGTGGAGTGGTTAGAAGTAAATATTATTCAGTTGTTGGGATTCATAGTCATATTAATTATAAAAAATGCATATTTCTATAGGGCTTTTAATGCAATAAAACATCCTGAAGTACTTCACGAAGCATTAAAAATTTGACATTGAGTCAAATAAAGTTATATTAGCATAGATGGCCAAAAATATGGAGAGGTTTAGGGAGTTATGCAGCGTTTACGACACGGCAGATGAAGAGACAGTCAATAATAATGCTGCAATTACAACCTGGTAAACTCAAAAGGCCCAAATTAGTGAAGCACAGATATGTTGCAAGATTGTTGGGTCAGAGGAGATTATATCAATTATATATTTGAGGCCATGGAAGGATTTGAAAACAGGAATGAGAGAACGTTTAAAAAAAAAATCAAAGCAATGCATAACTGAGAGCCAATGTAGGTCAACGAGCAGAGAGGTGATGGGTGAATAGGACATATGCAAAATTCTGGATAACCTCAGGTTTAAGGAGAACAGGTTGACAGGCCAGCCAGAAGCATGTCAAAATAGTCTGGTCTAAAATTATGGATGAGAGTGTCAGCCGGTCAGCAGAGATAATTACGTTACAAATGTGGAAAAGCCAGTCTCAGTGATGGAACAGGTGTGTTGTTGGAAGCATGTCACTGTCCACTTCTACAATGACATATGTGACTCAAAGTACCACCTCATAATAGCATGCTTTTGGTTTTGGTCCCTAGATGCAGGTCTCTGAGTCCTTGCTGAATCATAAACTGAGGAACAAAATGCTGTACAGCACGGGAATAAATTTTAATACCACTAATGTATGATGTAAACAATGGTATAAAAATTACACTGAAATGTTATCAGATAGCGAATTGAATTATTTCAGCTAAGTGAACATTTAATCATTGTTTTTAAGTAAATAATACGTGACCAAAAATTAGTTATTGCTAGAATACAAGGTGCCACTCTGAGCTAAGAGGCTGCACTCTCACAAAAGTCACTACACTGTGTTGATGTTCCACACTAGAGGCCTAAGCGCATAAACCATGCTGACAATTAGTCCAGTACTGAAGGAGAGTTGTATTGTTAAAGATGCTTTCTTTTTGGTCAGATGTTAAAACAAAGAGCCTTGTGTCCCTCAGGTGTGCAAGAAAAAATTCTCATGATTTGAAGACAAGGGAGTTTCTTTGAATACCCGGACACCATTTATTCAACATCTCTTAAACTAAACTACCTGGTCATTTATTTCACTGTTACTGTATTTACCTTCACAGTGTACAATGTGATTCTTTTATTTTCTACCTTGCAACAGCAATAATATTTTTTAAGACAATTAATGGGCTGAACAACACTTTAGGACATCCCATGGTCATGAAAGGGAGGAAAATGGAAGGAATCAAGGAATTCAGGAAAATTATAATCATCAGCAAAGAGGTACGAGTAAACTAATGGAACTCTGGGTTGTCAAGTGCCCAGATCCTGATGGATTGCCTCCTAGGGTCTTAAATGAAATGGCACAAGTGAGTTGATGAACCTGTTTTAATTTTCCAAAACTCCCTCAATTCAGGCAAAGTTTCACTCGATTAACAGATAATAAGCCTAACTCCTTTGTTCAAAAAGGAAGGTAGAAAACAGCATATTACAGATCAGTTAGTTTTAAATCTGTCAAAGGGGAAATGTTAGACGTTCCAATTAAAAAAGTTTTAGCAGAGCATTTAGATAAATTCAAAGTAATCCAGCAGAGTCAGCATGGTTTTGTGGAAGGAAAATTATTTTTAACCAATCTATTGGTGTTCTTTGAGGAAGTAACATGCTGTGGATAAAGAGGAACAGGAGGATGAACTGTATTTAAATTTACAGAAGGTATTTGATTGAGTGAAACATCAAAAGTTTGTTGTGGAACATAAAAGCTCATGGTTTAGGGGCACATACTGGAAAAGATAGATGATTGATTGGCTAACTGGAAACATTGAGTAGGCATAAAAGAGTCTTTTAATGCAACAAGTGATGTGGCACAGGGGTGTGTTGCTGGGACCTTAAATGTTCACACTTTACGTTAATAACTTCAATAAAAGGAGAGGGTATTGATGCCAAGTTTGCTGATGTTTGAAGAGACATGAGGAGACTACAGAAAGATATGGATCAATTAACTGAGTGGACAACAATCCGGCAAATGGTGCATAATATGAGAACATGTAAAACTGTCCACTTTGGACAGAGATGACACAAAAATTGATCTTTGGAATCTGCTTCTTAATAAAGACTTAGCAAAGTCTTTGAATATTTTTAAAGCGGGGTGAATAGATTCTTGGTAAGCAAGGGGATGAACGCCAGAGGTACTCAGAAACGTGGATTTGTGGTTACAATCAAATCAGTCACAATCTTTCTGAATTGCTCAAAAGGCTGCAGGGGCTAAGCACTCTTGCCATTTGTTCATATGAAAACTCTACTCAGTGAAAATTCTTACCTCCTCTAATTTTAACTACAATGGGAAAGATTCTCTACTTAAAAAGTGAATAGTAATATTAAATATTAAATCAATCGATCACATTCTTAGCAAAATGCTTGTTACCTTTCAGTTGAAAGTATATGTATAAGCTTCAACAGGAATTCACTGAACATCTGAGGATTGGTTGAAGAGAGGTGCACCTGGAGTCGAGTAAGAAACTCTAGCATAGCTTGAGTAGCTGTTGGTCCGACCTAAAGACAAAAGACAGGCTAAACCTTTCCGTTAAATGTACTTTGAAATGCAATTTCATTAAATCCCAAAGCTGCATCTGCAAATGTAGAATTAAAATTGATGTCACAGTATGAATTAACTACCATGCTCCATATCAACTATTCAATTTCCAGCCTCAGCTGGAATAATGGATTCTCCATTAGACCTGGAGATTGCTTTGCAGAACATCTACATTTTGCTTGCAACAAAAGACTCTGAGCTTCCAGTTGCCTGCCATTTTAACACACCACCTTGTTCCCTGGCCAACATCTGTGTCTCAGGCTTGCTGCAGTGTTCCAGCGAAGCTCAACGCAAGCTAGAAGAACACCACCTCATTTTCCGCTTGGGGACGCTGCAACCCTCCGGACTCAATACCAAGTTCAATAACTTTAGGGCCTAAACTCTCCAATGTCCTGGCCCTGTACCCCACGCTCCAGGTCTTGTTATCACATAGCCTGCCATTACATACTACTTATTGTTGGTCACTGACAGTCCCCATTAACAGCTATTTGCCCTCCTAGCCAGATTGTTATCAACTCCTTTGTCTATCCAACTGCTCTTCTCTCTCTTTGGGCTTTATCCTATCGTTTAATCCCTACCCCATCCCCCTCCCTATCTTCTGCATATAAACCAATGTTTTCTTAACTACCATCAGTTCTGAGGAAGGCTCACCAGACCCAAAACGTTAACTGATTTTTCTTCTTCACAGATGCTGCCAGGCCTGCTGAGCTTTTCCAGCAACTTTGGTTTTTGTAACGGATTCTCAGTCAAGGCAACTACAGAAATGCAATAATTGTAAATAGTCCAGGGAAGGGTCCTCAAGATACAGACCATAAATAGGTCATTCAGCCCACTACGTCTGCTCCACCATTCAATCATGGCTGATCTGTTTCTCAAACCTATTCTCCTGCCTCTTCCCTATAACCTTTGAACACCTTACTCAGCTAGAATTTATCTGTCTTAAATACACTTAATGACTTAGCCCTGACAGCCTTCTGCGGCAATGAGTTCCACAGATTCATCATCCTCTGGTTGAAGAAATTCCTCCTCATCTCAGATTCTGAACAGTTTCCCTTCATTCTGAGGCTGTGCCCTGGGCTCATAGTCTCTCCTACTAGTGGAAGCATCTTTTCCACATCCACCCTCTCCAGGTCTCTCAGTATTCTGAGAGTCAGTTTCAGAATACTAAGATGCCCAGATAGAGTGAGGGTGACAGGTAGGGTTAGGAAACAGTCCGATCCTCAAATTGCACCCAGTAATCCCTCCTGAACTTGTTTGCACGTTATGATCAAATTTGTTTGTGATGTCTTTTGAAAATAACCTGGCATCACTTAAAACCTTCACTCATGAAGAATGTAACTTAGTCTACCCAATATATAGTCTCAGCAACAGGTCAATGATTTCAGAAAGATGGGGAGAGCATTAGAGAAATATCAGAAAAATAGGCCACCAAAAAAAAAATTCCACCCTTAATTTTTGGTCCATCCTGTTTTTCATTCAGAATTCTCTCCTGGCAGTAATAGCTCCTCTATAATTTGGCAACAATTTTAAGGGTTAAGCTTTTCACTCTCTCCTTGATTTTTTGGATGAGTTGAAAGTGAACAATGGGTGTTAAATTTGTGGCATCAATATATCAAGCTAAGTTTTGGGATCCACTCAAAATATGACAGCATTCCGCATATGTTGAAACTCATTTCAACACAGTTCGCCAGAGGTTTGATCTCTGCTGAAACAAAGTATCCACTGCAAGTCTTATTGATCTACATTATGATATCCTCAGTAAAAATGACTGTACAAACAAGTTTCCAGAGTTAGAATAAATAAAATTTGCATCAACTCTATTGGACTGTTGTGGAGTCAATTCAATAACAAAAAACATTCATTATACAAAAATATACTGGACTTCAATTTCATGTGTAGATCAATTTAAAAACCTAAGAAATAACAATTTTGCTGTAGAAGGCACTGTGCAAGTGAATGTTCTAGCCCAACATACCCACGAGAATTAGGTGTGGGAAGATATTCACTAATTGTAGGCTACCTGCTTCCTTCCATTGTGACAACTAAGAACTGTAGGAAAGATCATTCCAGATCTGTACTTTGTATCTGATCACCCGAGCAGCAACCATCAAGAAACTGGGCAAGTTGCAGCTTACTTCCGTAAAGAAAATCACCAGGTTTGCCTTCTGTTAATTCAAATGCAAGGAATATTAAGTAGATTGCACTCCTGGTGCATACTCTATCCTATAAGATAGTCTGATATCTTCTGTACCCACCAAGGGAATATGTTGCAGCTTATGCCCGGCATAATCGTTCCATTAACCTTGCCAGTTAAATTAGTTATTTTTAGGACTGGCAACTTCAACAGTACATCTATTACGATAACATTAATTTCTAGCATTGTACTGAAAGTCCAGAAGTCATTGCATCTTTTAATTGTATCCTGCTCCTAAAACTGATAAACACAAGGCTCATCCACAACAAGTTGACTGCCTTACTTGCTTTCATTAGGAATGAAATCAGAGTGGTTTCAATTGCCCTATAATTATATTGCCAATCATGGAATGAACTGTTATGTGGAGCTAAGAAAGAACATTTATACTCTTCAGAAGTTCACAAACATCACTAAGATAAATTATGTATCTTAATTCAACATACTAGAGTTAAAAGTGGTCAGTCAACATCTCAAAGCTAAAAATGCCAAAGATGTTTTTCTGATCTTTGATACAAACTTCTCTCCATACATTTAGCTATCAACTAGCAAAATTCCTATTCAATGACATGACATAAGATCACAACGACTGTATCTTTTAGCACTGCTGACTGTTTCATTCACTGTATGAAACACGAGTCCTAATCTTGGTGACATTAAATGAATAGACTCAAACAATCAACTACTGAATTGCAGAATCCAACATGGCAGCTGTATACTTTCTCTGTTCTTTGCCTTGTCAAAATACCACTATCACCTTGAAAAGAATAACTGTTCCTCTTATTTAATCAATAGCTCACACATGTAATGAGAAAATTATTCCAGTGTATAGGTTGGTAACATAAATCCTGGCAACGAGCATTTGAGAAACATATTCACTCATTATCTATGTTGTTCTGAAATTAGTCCAAGCAGAGGCTAAAATAACCTCCCAAATGGAAGAAAGTATAGGTACACACTCCATTAGCACCAAATTATTCTTCGACATCTTCCATCATCTCAACCTCCAGACAGCTTAGAGAAAGTCCGGAGATCAGATGATCACCATAGGGCAAAGGATTAAGAAAAAGGAAAAACTTCAGCTCAGAAGAAAAAGACGATAACATATGGAACAAAGCCAAGTTAACAGAAATTAATTAGAGCAACAGCTAGACTTAATTCAATCATACAGAATAAATTATTCAACAACTGTCTCTTCATCACTGGAGTCCCCAAATAGATATAAAATAAAAATAGGAATAATACCAAGAAAGGCAGTTTGTAAAAAAAATAAACAAATGCATATCATAAATGTAAAAAATTAAGTACCTGTGGGCTGTGTTGACAAGTGCCATGAGGGCTGGTTCCTGAGAAGAATCTCACTAATACGTGAATCATGTTTGGATCAGAAACCATCACCTGTGCTGTGTTTTCTTGCAACACCATACTATTGCTTGGAGCAACTGAAACAAAAAAAAAATGGCCTCCAATAAACTCACTGTTGACATAATTTTTAAACAAGACTAAGTAAGCATCTCAATCCAACTTGCGTACAATACGTGTTACATTTCAGGAACTGGAATTACATTTACGTTTTTTCCATTTAGAGGATGTGGGCTGGCATCTATTGAACTTATTGTAAAACTAAAATTTAAATACAGTACATTATGCATTCACTTCATAAAATTTTGCAAATGATTTAGGCTTCCCATGGACTTAAATTTGCAGCTTATAAACTGAAGTCCATTTTAATTTGCCAAAGTAAATAAGCTTTTGCAAATATTTTGTAACCAAGAATTGGGTTAAAGCAAATGATGAAAAACCCTAGAATGATAAAAATCTCCTGTCTGAAAATATCAAATTAATGCTCTAATGGGTGCCACAGAAAGCTTAAGATAGTTTCAGTGTTTCCTTTGGCCCTTGTCTGCACCTTGCCTATACACCATTCAACAAACACCTTTTTTTGCTGGTCAAGATTTCAACTTCTATCATAAATTCCTCCTGTTCTGCCTGCAAGTTTCTGCATCTTGTCTGTTCTCTCTCATTGGTTAATTGTTCTGCCACTTGCATATCTGCTCTACTTGCTACAATCTTTTATTTGTACAGAATCTGGAACTTGAGGGGAAGAGCTTAGTCAGAATATTGGAAGGTTGAGCTGGTCATCAAAGCCTTCCACATTCTCTGCCTTAGTTTCCTCCTTCTATTAGTTTCATGTGTCCCCAGCCTACTTGAGCACTTCTGGATTTTCTGTTCAGCAATCATACAGATGTTGAGGCCACAATTCAAATGTCATATTAGCGTGCACTTACATTAAAACCTCAAAGTAACTCAGCTATTTAATCACTGATTTTAAAATTTGTTCAAAAGAATGCAATCCGAACATGTGAAATTCAGCTTTATATTCATGATTTTATTTTCCAATTGCAAAATCCACTTATGCAGTTTAAGTGAGCCAAGAGATCAGATGATTAAACGAATCTTTGCAGCTATGCCAAATATGTGAGCCCTTACCAGTTCTAACCAGTGGAAGAAATTGCCACTGTTAGACATATCATAATCCCTCATGATCTTGAAGGCCTCCACCAAGTCTTGTCTGAAGCTTCTCAGCAGTGAATTCCCAAACCTCTCTTCACAACAGTGACTCAAATGATCCTACACTCCACCTTTATCATTACTTTTAACCATATCTGCAGGCTAAGTTTTGTACAGAAGTTCATCATTACTGATAAAAAAAGAAAGCAACTCAACTAATTACAGCTCATTTTGCAAATAGCAAATCCTGCAACTGGAATATGCAAGTAGGTTGGATAAGTATATAGTAGGCATAAATAAAACATAACAGAGGGAGGTTATTACTTTGTTTAAATAGGATCTAAAAGGGCACCAAATATAATTAGTCTGATCCATGGAAACTAAGCTAAGAGTTTCTCTTAACAATTTTGTTTCACTAAGGGAAGATAGAAAAATTCCAAACTCAAAGGGATCACTTACCATTCAGCTGCATGTTCGTCATAAGAGTCAGACTGTGCAACACAAGGCACCAAGTCCGTAGAGAAGTGTTTGGGTACCAGGCTAACACTGTTAAGAGGCTAGATATTGAAGCTGCCATTTAAATGAAAAGACATATTTTGAGAAAGTTGTTCAAAATTTACAGAGTACACAAGTCTTAACTGTCACCTTTTATCTTCAAATATATATTATATATATTACATATGCAAACATAATTCAGCAATTTTTAGATGTTTGAGAAAATTAAGTAAACAGCCTCTACTTTTGGTAAAAAGTAGCTCACCTTGGCTTAAAGGGATTGTTGGAACTCTGCTTGCATTAAATAAAAAAACATCTGTTCCAGCATCTTCATTTCCAACAGAACAAGCATTCATGTTCAATGTAAGCCATAACTGCAATAATGATTCCAACTGAAATAAAATTAAAACTGCAATTACAAAAAAGTGAAAATGAAGAATCATAGTCAAAGAAACAAATGTAATAGTTCAGATCCTATACCTGAACATGATGAACCTGGAGCATTGAGAACAGTTTGTTGAAACATGCACTTAACATGGGGATTGATGGTGGTGGCACAATCAGCTGGCTAGATGAATGCAAGCCCCTCAACATGGAGTCATCAGTTCCAGGAGGTGGCTGAGATACTAGAGCAAACAAATAAAAAATTACCACTTATTGTTTCCCCACTTCACACAGTCCCCACCTCTTTACAATGAGTTACAACGAAATTCTACATCTACCACAGTAATCCGTGGTACATGAGCACCTGGGTCAGACGGCATATCATTAGCAATTACTCTTGAATTGATAGCAGTTGGGATTTACCTCTAATAATTTTCTAATCAAGTGCTAACATTCATTTAGAGGCTCTATTGTATTTAGAGAACTTTTTTTATTAAGATCAAGAGAAAGCCCAGAACTGGGCGATTTTGGGTTTTGTTTTTGACTTTAATTAGTGTTAGCCCTGTGAAGACAATGGAACAGAATAGCTACATAAAACTCCTGAGACGTGAGTATAAGATATAGTGAATTTGATTACCTTCGAGTGAAGAGTTGGTGTTAGTCCCAAACTACTGGGAGTTGGAATAAAAACAGTGAACATTAAACAAAGTGTGGGAGTAGGCAATTCAGTCCCTCGAGCCTGCTCCACCACTCAACACGATCATGGCTGGACTTATCTCAGCCTCAGATCCACTTTCCTGCCCATGCCCCATAACCTTTCAACCCTTTTCTAAGTAAAACTCTGAGTAAATTTAAGGAAGAGACAGACAATGCCCCAGCATCCACCACACAGTAGTGAGTTCCACAGATTCATGACCCTTTGAGAGATATAATTCCTCTGCATCTCTGCTTTAAATCTGCTACACCTTATCCTGAAACTATGGCCTCTGGTTTTAGATTTCCCACTACAGGAAACATCCTTTCTACGTCTAATTTATCAGTTTTCATTAGTATCTTATATACTTCAATTACATCTCTCATTCTTCTGAACTTGAGTGTATAGGCTTAAGTTACTCAATCTCTCTTCATAAGACAAACGCCTCACCTCCGGAATCAATCTAATGAGTCTCCTCTGAACCAGTTTCTCATCCTCAAACTAAATTCAAATTCAGGCATACAATGACCACTCTTCCCTAGAGTACTCTTTACTAGGAGATCATTCATTAATCCCACCTCATTACACAATACCAAATTCAGAATAACCTGCTCTCTGGTTGCTTTCCCAATAGATTGTTTCTTGAAACATTCTCTGACACATTCAAATTAGCTCTCCCTCAAGGCTACCCTTAATAATTTGATTAACCCAGCCCATATACACGTATTAAAATCACCCACGATTATTATAGTATTTTTCCTATAAGCTCACAGTATTTCCTGATTTACACTGTGCCTCATGATGGAACTACTATTTAAGGACCTATAGGTTACTCCCACCAGGGATTTTTCTCCCTTGCTATTTCTCATTTCCACCCAAACAGATTCGACATTATCTTAAAGCTGGGTACCATTAAGCTTAGGTATGTGGTAGCTCAAGGAAGAAGCAATCACAGTTCTAGAAGAAAGATTCAAGTCGCAAGTAACTTAAACCTCCTGAGGTGTTAGGTGCAGAGATTCTGGTGAGAATATTAGAAGAGTGGTGCTTTGGGTACTATACAAAAGCTGTTTTGTTTATTTTCAATTTATAGAGTTTATGGATTTATGGAATTATATTTTTGCTGTTTAAAATCTAGGAATTTATATCATAAGTAGATAGTTTGGATTATTCTAGTTTATTGTAGCTACTAATTCTTGTTTTTAAAATAAAACCTGCCGCAATGCATGCTTATGTTTCAGCGAGAGACCACTTTATTAAAACTGAAACAGATTAAAGTATGATCTGACAAGTCAGGTTTCTAGCTGAAACCTGACTTGTCTGGTAATAACATCACTGAGACCACAACAGTATTAATGGTCTCATCACCTCATTCAAGTGATAACTCTGAAGAATCCTCTATATAGAGATGCATTTTGAGAATGTGGATATTCTGGCAACTTTGCTCTGATGGAAAGCAGTTTCCAGAACATAAAAACACTAAAAAAGTATCATAACTTTCAGTCACTTTCACCATTTGCTCCAATTGTTTCTGCACTGGCTCTCCAAAATAAGCAACAGACTTCGTGCCATTCTTCTACCTTCTCTCCATACAGTTACATATTCTTCCTTTTTCTTAAGCCAGTTTCTGACCAGACCCTAAAGCTACAGATGTAGCAACTCCCAATCAAGTGCTAAGGTCATCTCTTGGAAAGTTTTAAAACCTTACATGCAAACTTTTTAATTTTTGAAAGCTACTCAAGAAGAAATCTCTGCATGTATCCAAACTTGCACATGGGTTGTTAAGCTCAGCCACCTGCATCAAAAAAATAGCACTAATCCAGGTTGCCAGCAGCACATCACACTTCAGAGTTAGCCTAATAGTAGTTACTTCAGGATGAAGTCAGGACAAAAGCAATATATTGAACACATCACAAAGACATTTTAATTTGTGCTCCAGTTTATCAGCTGCAACAAAAGAAGTGCAATACAGTTCATAAATCAGGCTAAGTCTGCAACAGTAAGAGAATTAGAAAATGATAAATAAAAGCTGTAGTTTCAATTGATATTAGGAAGCACTTTTCAAAATAAAAGTACAGTGAAAATCTGGAATCACTCTTCTATAGAGCCATTGATGCTACATCAACTGAAAACTTCAAAACTCAGCCTGATAATATCTTTGCCCAGGAAAAATCTAAGGGATTTGGAACCAAGGCTGATAACTGGGAGGAAATATAAATCAGCCATGGTATAAATGAATGGCAAATCAGCTTCAAGGAGTTGAAAGCCATGCTCCTTTTTTATGTTCCTATAATTTAGCACTCTGCTCCAGAGACTTGAGTATCTCTATTTCCATCTACCTGTAGGTGATGTATTAGTGAGAGCCTGAAGAATAGAATCAGCTTCCAGCGTAGCCATCATCTTCAACATAAGCTCAGCTTGCTGCTCCAAACCAACCTCCAGACGGGCATCCAGCGCTGCACCACAAACAGAACCAAGGATAGTTACTTTCTTTTCCTGCTAGCTTCAGCTTCAAATAGCAACAGAATTTATTTACGAAAGATACAAACCTTGAGAGACGGAAACGGATACACTTTGAGATCCATTCTTCTCACTGGCAGGGGGTGGTTTCGGCATCTGAATTCCAACGCCACCAACATAAGGATTGTAACTGTAAGTGCCATAGTCTGTACCCCAATAGTCGTACCAAGTACTGCTAATTGGCTTTTGTGAATAAAAAGAATTGAAGAGCAACACTAATCTGTTTAATGCAGACTTTACAACTCATCATTTTTCGTAAAAATGTTACTATCATTCACAAATGTATAGAATACTTAAGCTTTAAAATCTTGAAAACTAAATGTACGTTGGCAACCAAAATGCAAAGTTGAAATAAAGCAAACCCACTATTGCTACACAAATGATAAAAATTAAAATTATCCAAAATGTTTTTATTCTGTAAAGTCCCTAAAATTGTGTTGTCTTGGGCTCCCGAACATTACTGTTGTCCAAATTTATGAAACCTAAACTGAATCCAATTTCAATTCCTAAAGCATAATACAGGTTAAACAGAGAACACATTTACAAGGGTGAGTACTCTGAAAGGCCATGAGACTCCATCGGTTAATTTTAGGTCTTCAGTACCACCAAATCATTCACTTAAATTTTTCTCAAATCAATCCACCTCTAAAATTGTATTACTGATGAACAGTGGTATGACATATTTGTTATTCAAATCTTTGGTCTCTTTTTGACAAGTTACAAGAAAAATTAAAAGATCAAGATGATGGAGTTGGAAATGATAAACTTCTTACTTCCCAAGGCAACACAAACAAAAATCAATTTCAGCAACTTTAACCAGTCGAAAAAAAAAGGTTTGCATGCAAAGATGTAATTTAATCATATGTACCATACCTTGAATACTTTGGCAGCAAGTGGATCTTCATCAAAGTCAACATCTAGGGGACCAATATCAACATCCATGAGGTCTTGTAGCATGTCAAAGTCTTTGTCTTTATCTTTTTCCAAAGATGATGCAGATGGAGCACCTTTGGATGATGAAAACAGCTTTAACATTGCCAAGTATGTTAACTAATGTATGGAAATGGACCACATACACTCACCAGGCAATTTTAAGGCTGTGCTTTTTCTTTTAATTTACAAACTAAAACTGACAATATATGAAACTTAAAATTAATAAATGGACAACCAATTCACTGCATTTCCCCTACAAGTCACATACCTGTAATATCTGGAGTCAGAGGTTCATCTATAGATTCCACAAGTGGAATTACAGGCGGTTGAGGCAGGGTATCATCAGAGTCAGCTGTTGATGCCCCTGCATCTTCACCAACTGCTCCTTCTTCCATGGTCTCTATTGTTACTGGTGACAACAGCTCACCTGTTTCGATATTCAGAAAAGTTTGCAATTCATTATAACTTGAACAAAATCTTTTTAATACTGGTTACCTAATCACACAGGACAAAATCTTGAACGCTTCAGCTGAAATTGGGGCAAAAGAAAAAAATCAAATTCTGAAAGTCTGTTATAAAAATACATTCACAACAGGTTGGTCAGCATCCAGTGAAAAATGGTCAGCACTCTGATGAAGAGTTACTTCAACTTCACACAGTGGCTGACCAGTTTCATAAAAATAAGTTGTATGAATTAACAAATCATGCATTATTTTGCCCATAGCACTAATAGCATTCATCATTGAACTAATCCACTTACATACCAAGAGTCTTATAAATAATGAGATAGCAGAAACATCAATTATAACTTTCCACAATCACTTGGATTCTCGAAGGTTCCCAGCAAATTGGAAAAGAGCGATACAGGAGGGGACAAATTGTAAAACTATATGCCAGCTGGCCCAACATTCGTCAAAGGAAAATTGGTAAAATCCATTAAGGGGTTACTAGAAAGATACTTAAAAAAAAAAACACAAATTGATCTTGCAGAGTCAAAATGGTTTTGTGAAAGAAAAAAATAAGTCCTAAGAGAAAGGAAAAAGCCACGCGGTTAAAGCAACCTGTAGCTCCAAAAATGCATTTGAAAAGATGGCACATTAAAGGTTGTTTAAAAAATACATTACCCAATATGCCATGAACATGTTAGCATAGATAGAGGATTATTTAATTAACAGTAAACAGATACTAGAAATAAATGGGTCATTTTCTATTTGGCAAGCTGGAACCATTTGGGTCTCAACTAATTACATGGATGATGAGATTGAAAGTACGGTACTTTCAGGTACTGAGGGGCAGCATGGTGTTAGCACTGCTGCCTCAAGCACCAGGGACCCAAGTTTGATTCCACCCTCGGGTGACTGTCTGTATGGAGTTTGCATGAGTTTCCTCTGAGTGTTCCAGTTTCCTCCTGCAGTCCAAAGTTGTGCAGGTTAGGTGGATTGGCCATGCTAAATTGTCCATACTGTCCAGGGATGTGTAGGCTAGGTGGATTAGCCATGGGAAATGAGGGTTGCAGGGACAGGGTAAAGGGACGGGTCTGAGTGGTTGCTCTTTGGAGAATCAGTGTGGACTTGACGGCCGAATAGCCTACTTCCACACTATAGGGATTCTATGGTTCCTCTATGGTAGCTTAATTTGCCAAGGGTACGATATTAGGTTAGAAAGTAAATTTTTAAGAAAAGAAAAGAAACTACAATGGGATATACATAGATTAGGTGAGCCAGCAAAAATTTAAATGGATTGAATATAATGTGAGAAAATGAGAATGTGTCCACTTAGGCAGAAAGAACAGAAAAGCAGTTTACCAATTAAATGGAGAGAGATTTCAGAATTCTGTGGTACAGCAGGTATAACAGGCAACTGGGAAGGCAATACAATATTCGTGACAGTAAGGACTGCAGATGCTTGAAGCCAGAGTCAATAGATGTGAAACTGGAAAAGCACAGGTCAGACAGCATCCGAGAAGCAGGAAAGTCAATATTTTGGGCCGTAACCCTTCATCAGGACTGGGGAAGGGGAGGGGAGCCCAGAAATAAATTGGGGGAAAAGGGGTGGGAGGGTAGGTAGAAAGATAGATAAGTGAATACAGGTAGGGGGTTAGAGAGGTTTGTCAGCAGGAAAGGTGGAGCAGATAGGTGAGTCGGAAGATAGACAGGCTGGGGGAGGGAGGGAAGATTTTGAAACTGGTGAAGTCAATATTCAGGCCATTGGGCTAAGCTCTCAAAGCAAAATATGAGGGGTTGTTCCTCCCATTTATATTTGGTCGCACTCTGACAGTAGAGGAGGCCAAGGATGGACATTTCACCAGGGGAGTGGGAGGGAGAGTTAAAGTGGATGGCAAATGGAAGGTCAGGTTGGCTGATGTGTGCAAAGCGCAGGTGCTCCACAAACAAATCCCCGAGTCTACATTTGGTCTCCCCGATATAGAGGAGACCATATCTGTAGCAACGGTTACAGTGGATGAGGTTAGATGAAGTGCAGGTGAATCTCTGCCAGATTTGGAAGGATGGTTTGGGGCCTTGGGCAGAGGTGACAGGGGAGGTGCAGGGGCAGGTGTAGCACCTCCTGCAGTTGCAGGGGAAGGTACCAGGTGTGGTGGATGGGTTGGTGGGGAATGTAGAGCTGATGAGGGAGTCACAGAGTGAACGGACCCTGCAGAAAGTTGACAGGAGTGGGAAGGGAAATATCTTTTTGGTGGTGGGGTCTGATTGTAGGTGGCGGAAATGTCGGAGGATGATGTGCTGTATTGGGGTTCATCGCAAGGGGATAGAAATTTAAAATTACTCAAATTTCACTGCAGCTGTAGTGGGCCTTGGTGAGGCCACATCCGGAGTACTAAGGTTTCTTTCTTTAAAAAATGCTTTTTTTTTTTATTCATGGGCTGTGGGTGTCACTAGCTAGAACAGGCAACAATTTCCTTCCCTAAAAGACATCAGTGACCCAGATACAAGTTAGAAATAGTTTAGAACAGATTCACAACTAAGTCTGGGTTGAAGGGCCTATTTTATGCAGAACAGATGAACAGGTTGGGTTTGTACTCATTGGAGCTTAGAAAAAAACAAGAACTGATGTTATTGAAACACAGAAGATCATAAAGGGACTGTGATAGAGTACACCTGTGAGGGTGTGGGGAGACTAGATTCATTTTCAAAAATGAAATGTCTTCCTGTAAAGGCAATGAGAAACGTTAAGCTGTGGAACTCTTTCCCAGAAAGCGAGAGAGACTAGGTCATTGAATTTATTCAAGGCTGAATTGGATAGTTTCAAGAGACAAGGCAGCAAGAGTGCATGTGCGTGCATCTCAGCCAGGAAAGCAATTGAGACCACGATCAAATCAGCCAATGATCTAATCAAATGGCAGACCGGATGGCCTACTCCTATTCTATGTCCTATATCCCCATAGACCAGTCTCCAGGAAATGGTGGACAAAATTTGATAATGCGGACATTTCAAAAGTTCTCAATTTAATTACAAATTAAAAGGTTAACAGGTATGTAAAACGGAAAAAATACTAAGCCAAACAGGAGACATATTAGACCTGCAAACTGAAGCATCAATCTGCCATAATGAATATTTGCATAGTTTAAGTAACATGTTTATATTAACTGTTACTGACAAACAACACTGCCAATTGGAACCACTATTTGCAGAAACTAAAAACCTAATCAAATCCACTTAAAAGTCTATCTTATTTCTAGTTCAGCTATGATCCAAAATGCTGGAAACATTCGGGTCATGCTGAATCTGTGACCAGAAACCAGGACTGGATTTGCAATTCTGATGTTCTTCCATTAAAGTTAAAGTTCTTAATTGGAGTAAGGCAAATTTAATGGCATGAGATAAGAACATTCAAAAGATGATTAGAGTAGATTTTTGCAGGAAAAAGGATGTCTGACAAGTGAAAGGCTTTCAAGAGTATGATGATGAGCAGAGGCATTAGGTTCCTGTTAGATTGAAGGGTAAGGCTGGTATGATCAAGGAACATTGAATGAATAAAGATATTGGGGTTCTAGTCAAGAATGAAAGAGAATCTTATTTTAAATATAGACAACTGGGTTCAACTGAATCTCTTACTCAGTGTAAAGAATGTAGGGGCATTCTTAAGAAAGAAATCAGGAAAGCAAAGAGGGAATACAAGATAGCATTGGTAGATAAGTTTAAGGATAATCCAAAGAGATTCTACAAGTACATTATAAGTAAGAGGGTAACTAGAAAGAAGGTAGGACCCCTTAAAGATCAAGAACATCTTCATGTTGAACCCCAAGAGATGGGAGAGATACTAAATGAATATTTCGCGTCAGTTTTTACTGTGGCTAGAGCTAGAGAACTCAGGGAAATAAATACTGATGTTTTAAAAACAGTTCACATCACAGGACATAAAGTTCTGAAGATCATAGAGACTATGAAGGTGGATAAAACTCCAGGACCTGATCTAATGTATTTCAGAACATTGTGGGAAGTAAGGGAGGAAATTGAGAGGCCCCTTGTAGAAATATTTGCATCATCTGTAACTATAGGTGAGGTACCGGATATCTGGAAGTGGCTAATGTTGTACCTTTGTTTGAGAAGGGTTCTAAGGAGACTGCAGGGAATTATAGACCTGTGAGCCTGACTTCGGTTGTGGGTAAATTGTTGGAGGTGATTTTAAAAGATAGGATTTATAGACATTTAGAGAAGTAAAAATTGATTAGGGATAGTCAGTATAGTTTTGTGTGAGAAAAAAAATCATGTCTCACAAATTCCATTGAGTTTTTTTTGAGGAAGTTACTAAGAAGATTGATGAGGGCAGAGCAGTAGACATTTACTCGAACTTTATTAAAGCCTTTGACAAGGTTCCTCAAGGCCAATTAGTAAAGTTAGCCCACATGGGATTCAGGGTGAGCTTGCCAATTGGATACATATTTGGCTTAATGGCAGGAGACCGAGACCTCTTCTGGAGTACTATGTCCAGTTCTGGTCGCCCAGTTATAGGAAGGATGTTATTAAACTAGAGAGGGTTCAGAAGAGATTTACTAGCATGTTGCTGGGTATGGAGGGTTCAAGTTAAAAAGAAAGGCTGGGACTTTTCGACTGGAGTGTAGGAGGGTGAGAGGTGACCTTGTAGAGGTTTATAAAATTATGAGGGGTAGATAGGATAAATGATAGGTGTCTTTTCCCTAGTATGGGTGATTTCAAGACTAGGGTGCAGATTTTTAAGGCGAGAGGAAAGAAATTTAAAAAAAAGACATGAGGGGCAAATTATTTTTCCCACAGAGGGTGATTTGCATGTGGAATGATCTTCCTGAGGAAGTGGTGAATGTGGGCACAGTTACAACGTTCTAAAGACATTTAGATAACTACATGAATAGGAAAGGTTTGGAGGGATATGGGCCAGAAGCAGGTAGTTGGGACTAGTTTAGTTTGGGATTTTGTTCAGCATAGTCTGGCTGGATTGAAGGGTCTGTTTCTGTGCTGTATGACTCTACGAACGGTCACTGGGCTAATCACATGCTTGATTTCTTTACCACAACTGCTGCTTGGACTGAGTGTTAACAAACTCATCAGCTTTTATTTGTAATTTCTAGCAGCAGTACCATTGAGTTAAGAAAAGGAATGGTGTTTAACAAGGAAACTTGGAGAGAAAGGGCGGCTGCAAGGGCGAGAGAATGAGCGAGTGAGCAATGGATGTGACGAGGGTAACAGAAAGCGCGTGAACAGTGGAGGTAGTTGGGGTGGGGGAAGGGAAGAGAGAGAGAGAGAGAGAGAGAGAGAGAGAGAGAGAGAGAGAGAG